TGAAATGATGTTATTTGTTCATTTGTTTTTAATTTGTAATTATTTAAAATGCATCGGATCACTCTGCACAATAATCTAGAAACACCACAGCAACTGAAGTAGCAAACTTTGCGAAACACATAATTTATGTCAAGGCTGTAGATAGAAAGATGGTGCCATTATTACTTGTCAGCAGTCTAGACATATTACCAATCCACTTTTTAGATAACAGTAGTAAAATAGATTATTACACTTTTATCGGTAGCTGGATGCGCTCTAACTGACTTTTCAATTCCATCAAACAAATAAACAAATAAATATCAACCAATGTTTTATGTCTATTCTTGACTCTAATTGCCATTCCAATTAAATAAGACATTGGATTAAAATGCTAAATAACACATTCAGTGGTGCATTAAATTCATCAAACATGACAGTAACAATATTTATGTTACAAAAATTACTAAATGCCATTCGTTTGAACTTCCTATTCATTAGAATCCTGAAAAAAAATTACAATATAACAGTTTTGACTGTTTTTGTTTTTAGCTTGGCAAGCAGAAGGGACTACTTTCAAAAACATTTATTTTTTTTGTTTAGGCAACTTTAATTATCTATCTATAAAAACAACAAAAGTCTATAGTATGTCTCTATTTATATTAAATGTGTGTTAGTCTATTTAGACTAAACTTACCTCACCCTCTGGACACATTCTGCCCCGACAACATGTCAGCTGTGCTCATCGACAGCAGACAGACAAAATGAGTTTGAGACAGAGAGATGCTCTGACAGCACGAGGTTACCAAACCACCCCCACACCACCCCAAACACACATCGATTTGATGTCCACTGCCATCTTTCAGCCTAAAGTCCATTTTCAGTCAAAAATAAAGATAGACAGACAGACAGGAACAACACCAGACAGGAGAGAGAGCGAGTGGTCATTGATACACGAGTAAATATTAGATTAAGGTGAGCTGTACTGTTTTCCGCTTACTAGGATCGGTGGGCCTTTATTGGGTTATCCAACTGAAGTCGGTGTGTGTGTGTGTGTGCTGGGACAGGAATGACAGGAATGCTCGGGCCTCCTTTACTGTCAGGGAAGGAGCTACATGATTCGGACGGAAGCCGAACCCACACACACTTCTAAGACTCTTTTGGGCCTGAAACATGTCAGCTTAACAAAAGCATCAATGATTCAATACTTGTGAAAATAACAATGAATGTACATACATGCCAAATCAAAGGAATACCAGCAGAAACAGATTGAAACATAAGTACAATAACTGTTCAGTCACACAAAGGAAAACACCCAGCTGAGGGGGCTGAATTTAATTTCGTGCAGCTGCCCATTAGAAAAGCCCCTTTCTGTGTTATAAAAGCTATTCGTAATCTTTTATTAGAGAGGTGACATGCTACTAATCCCCAGGTCAAGCTTTTGTGTGTCTTCTGATGGCTTATTATTATTTCAAGTTATTCGAGTCTGTCATAAAAAGGTTTCAAAAAATAGTAGAATGAGGAAACACTCTAACATATAAAGTCCATGAAAGTGAAAGAGTGGGGGAGGCGAAGTGAGTGAGAGCCGGAAAGTGTGTGTGTGCGCGCCTGCAAATCTGCTTCAGGGGGTGAAGATAAAGTCGAGGCACAGAAAAAAGGCGAGAAATTGGGGTTCTAAATCCGTCCTCTGTGGGCCACTCTGGTGGAGTGTTGAGGGAAACAGATTTGGACCTCAATCCTTTCAGAGCGCAGAAGCTGCCCGTTCGTAAGTGGAGAGGAGGGATCAACGTCAAGAGGGATGCAGGCAGAAAGTATGTGACTTTGGGCTACAAATAGTTCCCCCATATTGAATATTCATCATTTCCTCAGCCTTCCAAGAACATATAAATGGCAGTCTTTATTCCAGCATTGTTATTATTAATAAAACTATTAAAAGTTGAGTAGAAAAATAGAATATGTCACTGATCACGGAAAGTAGGGAGGGACACAAGTCAATTCTGGTGCATTGTGAAGTATTCACGGATTCTGAAAGTGTAGTCTCCAAGCTTTTCAATGATGTGTAACACATGAAAATCTGATAATATTTGGATAAGTTGTGGCATTTAAAGGTAGGCACTCAAAAAAGCTCAAAGGTAAGAAAACGGCCTCTAAAGACTGTGCATTCTCACCACGCTCTGCTGCTGGGAGTGACAATAGGGCTAATTTACATACTTTTAAATACACCAATACTGCTATCTCAAACATGGAGAGGCTTCTTCATGATATCAACTAACAGATTCTGCAAAAAAGCGGAAATCACCAATTCTGGAAAAAAAACTCTCATTTTGCTTATAAGTCGTGCTGCCGACTTGTGTCACTGGTTTCCGTGATGAGTCACATATAATAGAATATTGAAATAAAGCTGAAATAAAATAAAATATGAAATGAAAAACGTCAATGTTGCTTAGCAACTAGCTACTAAAATCCCAGTCAAATACTAACAACTTAAAACTAATTAAAAATAAAAGCAAACTCAAAATATTTATAAATGCTAAACTACATTTTACTCCAAAGAACAGAAGACAGTTCACATTCAGTTGTCACATATTGCTGTTAATTGTTAAGTCAATAAAATCCATTAAAACACATTTAGTCTTAAAGGCTATTTTGTTTTAGAACATAACAAAATAATTATTTTCTTGATTATTAACTGAAAACAACAACTTTCATAGGCAGAAGGGACATTTTCAGCAAATGACTTAGTTACAATAAAATACAATGTTATTTTATTATGGCTTCACAAGAATTATGACATTTTGTGTTTTTTATGAGGCTCAGTAATTGATGGTGAACTCCTTCCATAAACCAAACATCATACATGGCAGAAGGCCAACTATTCTTTGTAAGGGATAGTTGTTAAAGGGCTGATTAAGTAATCACATGGTTTAATATTAGCAACTGACCCTAATGGACAAAGCCTGACATGGACAAATCCCTCAAAAGCCCAGAGTACTGTATGTTCTTTTAAGCCCATATATGTGTGCATGGTTCAGCTACTGTCTACCTGACTTTGAGAAGCATCATGATTATTCTCATTCTTTGACAGCAAGAGGATGGTGTGGCTAGGAATCTTCTTGATGTTGTCAACCAAGATCAGTAATAATAGATCCACTCAATGTGGCATTCCAATATACATGACAAGCTACAGGTTTACAGACTCATCCTTACTGTCCTTATTGTTCACAATGATGATCTTATGGATGGATACCAAAATCTCAATGCGCATCTTTCCATCTCACTCACACATACAAAACGGGGGCAACAGCATGATCTAGTCAGATATGACCTACTTTCTATTCTCCCACAATCCCTTTTGTTCCCCCAGCAGCACCCTGTTTCAGGGAGAGAGAGATGGGGGAGGAGGATACTAACAAAGACTAAACACCCAACTCCACATGATGCACCCTGGGACACTAAAAAGCTCAATCACTCAGAAACTACTTAGTACATATTACTGAGGACTCCCCAAACTGCAGAGCCCCTTGACACCTAAGTAGTGGATTAAACTGCATGCATTTCATGCTTCAATTTGCTCAAAATAAGTCCTCAAAATCTCCTACGTATTTGTGCATTATATAAAAAAAACATAGCTTTCATTTTTTTATATCGTAGAGTGAAAGCATGCATTGCACACACAGACCCCATTTACACGTACATGGTTATTCTGACAAACGGAGACATTACCCTTAGTTTGTGCCCCTTCGTTTACACACAAACAGAGAATTCGCGTCTGAAAACGATTCAGACCAGAGAACTTCGTTTGCAAGTAAACTGAGAAAACCGAGTTTTAGTCAGCCGACGTCACAGCATGCGACAGAATTTACACTTGCGTCAAAAGTGCGACCTTGTGAATCGATTCGCCTCTCGTTACACTGCCACCTACAGGTTGTCATGCTGTTGACAGCATATATACACAGGTTCGTGTAAACACTTTTCTGAAAACTGACAGGTGTGCACGATGTTATTTTTGAAAACGGAGGCTGAAATGTCTGTTTATGAAAATAACCGGTCACGTGTAAACGTAGCCACAAAGAGGCGCGTTTCAGATAGCGCTTGAACACTGAATTCATTTCTCTTTCACGTCGAACACACACACAAAAAATTGTGTCAAAATACTAATTTTGGCAAGTATTCCCGTCAAACTAATTGAATGTAAACAGTTGAGAACGAAAACAGATGTGTATCATTATATTGTATCAGTGCATCAGGTCTTAAAGTGACAGCAGCCTAATAGACCTGCTGCTGTGTGTCAATGTTAATAATCAAACAACAAAGCACAGCTTTAAAAAATATATAGCTTTAACAAATATTAATCTATATTTCATGTATATAGTGAACACTATAGTGTTATTTTACATTTAGGCCAAATTATTTCATTTCTGTACCTGAATACTACAGCTAGACCTTACTTGTAACATTGTTATATTGTATTTCTAATATAATCTATGCCGCACTATTAATAAATACAACTAAAGAGAGATTGTAGACTAATACAAGCAACTTTTTAAATTCAGAAACGACTGTAAAAAGCCCAACAAGTCTTAATCAAACCCTGAGAGGTGGCCACAATTTCCATCACCACAGCAGAGGACAGACTGCATCTCCTGCTAAACAAGTCTCACAAGGCAGAAAGGAAGGAACGCCAGAAGAGGAGAGAAAACACTGCTGAAACCAATTTAATCTGACAGAAAAGCAGACGTGCAACCGTAAATGTCAGAGGTAAAACCAAAGGAGGGATAAAGGGGAAGAAGTGCGGAGCAAATGTTAGATTAGCCTAGTAGTAATTCTTGGAACAGCAGATAATGACAATCAAAGGATGAAAAGGAGCATTTCTGGCAAAGATAAGTGCTTGAAATGTAGAGAATGAAAGCCAAAGACGACATTGAACGAGATAAAGGCAGAATATGACTAAGTTTGGGAGGGAGAGGGAGAGAGAACAAATGCGTGGGAGAGGAAGGAGGATGGCGAATGTCACTCGTCCTTACCTGCATGTGTTCGGTAGAGCTGCTGCTGAGCTCATCTCCAGATTCAGAGTCATTTCTCATTTTCTCCAACCCATTTCCTGGTAACACGCTCCCTTCCATGTCCACTGTCAACACACCTGGGAGTTTCCCCTGGCAACCATGCTCTCGTGGAGGGGATTCCGCCCGCCCTCGTGGAAGTGTGGGGTTGCCATGGTGATAGTTATGATGGTTGTTGTTGAGCAGAGTCAGCTCTGCAACGACGCTCTTCATCCCCGGGTTCTGATTGGTGTCCCGCATCAACAAAGGCGGGGTCAGTTGCCCTGGCAATGGGGAAGGTGTCGTTGAAGGAGGTGGCCTGCCAAAGCTGGACCTTTCCGTAGGAGCGCGTTGGTTGAGATTTTCATTCGACGATCGGCACTGGCTGATTTCAAGGACGTTGGGGGGCTTTGCGCGAGGTTTGGGCGGTGGCATAAGGGCACGCCGGACCTCTCGGACGTACTGAGCGGGGACGTAGAAAGCCTTGGTGCCCTCTTCCCGCCGAACTTGCCACCAGTCCTCGTTGGTTTTACGAACCAACTGGTAGCATTCGCCCTGCCGTATGGAGATGAGTTTGTCTTTCGCCTTGTACTCATAATCGAACTCCACCTCGATATATACCTGCCCCGGGGCGATGGACAAATCACAACGGCCATCCCGTTCCGTCATGTCTCAATCTGTCCGTGCGTTGTTCAGAAGACAGACTGTGAGTGGATCCACATCTCTCTCTTGCTGTGTCCACACGGCTGCAAAAATAGAGAATGAGATTGTTAGCACACAAAGATTGAAAACACACACACACATGTTGAAAACTGTGGTACTGTTGATCAATAGCAATCGCGACAGACTCGATCTAATCACACATTACACAAAAAAGTGCTACTGTACTTTCCAGCTTCAAGGACAGACGCATGGTAACCTAATCATGCGTGAGGACGCCATGGCAACTAACATATCAGTAATCTAATGATCAAATTACAATGACAGGTCGCAAGGAACATAACTCAGCTCTCTCACACACCGATCACTGAGTGAACCAAGTGATATTTTCCAGACTGTTGCCTCTAGACTACTGCAGATCCTTTTTTACCATCAACATGCATCTGTCTGCCCCCATATCCCACTCTCACATGTACACAATCCCCCTTAAGCATTCTTAGGTTAAATATACACTGTCATGTTCACATATGGTGCTTACAGATGATGGATTGTGACAGCCTTGGGCCGGATATAAAGAGCGGCAGGATTCACTCTTCCTTTTATTTCTCCGACTCCTTTGTTCTTTTAGCCCTTTTGTGTACATATGAAATAAAAGGTGTAACTTTCTGATACTATGCACAAAAACTGCAAGCACTTTCTGATCTGGCCAGCTCTAATCTGATTGGCTCTGATAGATGATGCACAATCTTTGAAACGTCGTTTACTAAATGCACTACCGTTCGGAGTTTTGGGGTTAGTGCGATTATTTTTTAAAGAAATAATTTATCGAACACGAATGCATTAAATTAAACGTGACAGGAAAGACTTACATTGATTTTAAAAAATTCAACTTTAAATAAAGGCTGTTCGTTTGAACTTTCTATTCATCTATGAATTCTGCTTTTGGCGTATATTACATTGAATATTTATCAAACTTTTATCGAGGAAAATTATATCGCAATGATTATCATATTATCGCACAACCCTATTTACAGTGTATTCAAATTGAAAAATTTTATTATAAATTGTGACAATATTTACAAATATTACAAATAAAATGATGCTTTAGGGAGCACTGAAGAGACTTAGACTGTGTGTCCACCAAAGCGTTTTAGGCGCTCTGCTGAAGACGCCGTGCTTTGGGCGCTTGAGAGCGTTTTGGCCGTGTGTCCACCAAAGCGTTTTTCCACGCGCCTGCCGCCTAGCGTATGTTTTCAATTGTTTTCAATGGGAGCACCGTGTTTTTTTAAACGCCATGAGCGTAACGAGGCGCTGAGTGTTTTTTTCACGCTGAAGCACCCGCCGTTTTTTACTGGTCGCCAAGACTTGAAAATTTTTTAACTTTGGATAAAACACAGCGCTCATCACTGTCACTTTTTACTAGAGCCCGACCGATAAAGGATTTTGAAGGCCGATACCGATACAAATATTTTGGGGTTTTAAAATCCGATATTCCGATATATCGGCCGATATTTTTTATTTTTTTTTAAACTGGACATGATAGTCACAAATTTTGTCATCGTGAAAAAAACGCTCAGCGCCTCGGTACGCTCATGGCATTTAAAAAACGCGGCTCTCCCATTGAAAACAATTGAAAACAAACGCCAGGCACGTGGAAAAACGCTTTGGTGGACACACGGCCTTATGTCAAATAAAAAGAATTAAAATTAAATTAAATAGAACAATTTAAACCAACACTTATGCTACCCCAAACAGTAGAGCATTTCAAACCATTGATTTTGATATTAGCGTTTTATTTTTAATTTATTTAGTCAAAATAGTAGACTTTTGATATCATCCATAACATGAAATCAGTTACAAGCTAGACTTTATCCCAATAATGTAAAGTTTGGTTAGGGGAAACTAACATTTTAAAGACACACTCTCTTTCTAAGCCATGAAACCTTCCCTACTTATATTTAATCCACATGGTCTGTCCTTAAACGGTAGGACATGGAAGCTGATGGGTTTACTAAACATTTCAAAATAGCAACAAATATTATACAACCTGCTTGGTGTGTGTAAAGCCATGCGGCGCTGTCAAATTTTAGATGAGGATTTGATGTGACATAAGGCACCTCTCAAAATAGCGATGGAGGAAAGGGACTGATAGAGGTTACTAAGACGGAATGAAACTGAATACTGTAACCAAACACAGACTACACCGATCTCTCCACTGAGAAAACCTTGCACCGTTTATCAAGCACATGCCCGCATACAAAAAATACACTAAGCACAAAACAATACCTAATCAGTTGAATGCATTTTAATCATCATGTGGCACATTTCCACATCAAATCATTACATTCCTAAAGCATCGTGTTTGTTGGATGTAACCAAACTGTTTCTATTGGATTTATCTCAATCACATTGAACCAATATGATTTACCTCAGACCCCAATTTGGCAACATTGACCTGACCTAAAGTAATTCTCTTTCAAATCAAACAAATAATCAATGTAGTTTCCATTAAAGTCAAACTTAGCTATATTACAATATATTTTATTTTGTTTTTTTGACTGTCTTTTCTGAAATATCACTACTACCTTCCTGATCACATACAGCAGGACAGGACACAGCTTCCTTCACCCAAAAGCTTCACAAAACATTCAAACAAGCTTTAAATTGATGAACTCTCATCTTCAAAAAGAGGTCAGCTTTCTTTATAAAAGAGCTTAATTTGTGTTCTGAAGATGAACAAATGTCTTACAGGTTTGGAATGAAATGAGGGTGAATTAACTGACAGAATTTCCTTTTTAGATGAACAATCCCTTTAACTATTTACACTTAGACACTAGTCAAAGGGACATGTTATGATGATGAACCATTCAACATGTACTAAAACATCCTTAGGCTCCTGAACCTCGTAACAAAGACGTAAAACTGAAGCCTGTTGCTGAAACGATTTGAGCTTCTCAACAACCACACATCTCTTCCACTATACAAGACAGTTGACCCAGCATTGATTTAACCAGCGTAGAGCTGAAGTCTGTCTACTCCCTCTGTCTTTGCATTTTGCAGTAAAGACTCGTGCCAGTCTAGGCAGCAACTTCAATCTCTTACATTCTTTCATTTCCTGCATACTTCATCAAGCCCTACCGCAGGCACTCCAATATATGGCAATGTGATCTCATGAGTGTATTTTACAAAAAGTGTAGTTCTATCATACGTTTTATGCACGCAGAAACATACTATATAATACTGATGTAATTACAGCACTAAAACATAAAACATTTACACATTGACAGCACAAAAAAGTAATTTATTTACGTATGAATAAATCTACCGACGTTTTATCCTTTTTATGTTCTATAAAAAATGGGCGTGTTTAGGTTTGGGAAAAGGGTTAAGGGATCTTACATTTATCTATTCTAGAAAATGGTAAAAGGGACATTTTTAACAGATATCTTTATGATATGGAATATACGTAAGTAGTTAATGTTTTGTAGCTGTAAAATCGTAATAATGTTACGTTTAAATGTTGCAGATACGTCCATATTATACGTTTCAGCGTCTATCCAAACGTACAAAAAAGTACGTATTAACAATGACACCAGGCTGTATGTGGAAACAACAAGACAAGAGAATCCGATTCAAATAAAAACACCAAATTATATACAAAAAGAATAAAAGACTAATGAAGAGCATGACTGGTAAAGGAGAGATGCTAAACACTGTCGACTGCATCTTACTTTGAGGGGCTTCACACAGAATCTGTTTTAGAATTTTCAGTGCACTGCTTTTCAATAGTTTTTAAATGTAAACGTGCACTAGACAGACATGTTTGACCATTGCGTTCAAGCCATTTATTTGATCAAAAATAAAAGTGAAGCATTTTTTCCAGGATTCTTTGATACATAAAAAGTAGGGATGGGCAACGATTAATTGCATCCAAAATAAAAGTTTATGTTTACATAATATATGTGTGTGTATAATTAATTTGTATATATAAATACCCACACATGCATGTATATATTTAAGAAAAATGTGTTATTAATATATCAAATATTTATATTTATATATAATATTAATTGTGAATAAATATATATAAAATATATACATGCACTTATTTCTTAATTATATACATGCATGTGTGGGTATTTATATATACAAATTAATTATACACACTACACAAACATATATTATGTAAACACAAACTTTTATTTTGGATGCGATTAATCATTGCCCATCCCTAATAAAAAGCTCAAAATAACAGCATTTATTTTGAATAGAAATCTGTTGTCATTTTATAAATGTCTTTACTGTCACTGTCAGACCATTTTTGTTTTCTCTAATACTAACTAACCCAACCTAAAGTTTAGAACAAGCCTGTCCGCTAAATTTCCCCATCCTCCCTTGACACCATGAACCATAATTTGAGCTAAACATAGTCCATCTTCTCCCTCTGCCAATAGCATCCACACTTACACACAGGATTCCCAGGACTCAAGCATGTTTGAAAGCTCGTGTTGCACTGTTATCACTTGAAGGAAGTCTGAGGAATAAAAGCCTTCAATGATTTCCGATAAGTAAGGGACATGGCGACATTTTAATAAGAAACATTATTAACACAGAGGGAAGGATAACAGGTGAATGCTTTGATGGCAGTTCTCCACCAACATTAAAACAGCTTGAGGTAACTCTTATTAACACTTTTTAAAGAGTGAAGCAAATCTTCAATATAGTGAGCAAATAAGACTACTTCAATCGAAAAAAGTAGCACACAAGAATTTTTAAATCTACCATGTGTCTCCCATTTGGGGACTTGACTCCTAACCAAAGTGGAGCTTCTATAAACAAGGAGCAGATGGAAGGTCTCCTCTGGGTGTGAGTGCAGTGTTAATGCGGCCAGCACAACACAAAGAAGTTACTGCCAACTTTTCAGCAAGATGAGTGAGACTGTCACTCAGAAATCCCATATCATTCAGGGTTCCAGACTGTGAGCATTTTTTTGAGAATGTGCGAGTTCAAATTTTATGTGGTCGCATTTGCGCGAGTGTGTGGTCATCTAAAAAAAACTCAGTTAATTCACCATGCGCAACAGAATGCTGTCGTATCACCAGAAGCTGCTCATTAGTGACTTCTTACTTATATTGACAACTATTTTTTTTATATAAAATGTTGTGTAACCATGTAATGTGTGGACTGTGGAGAATGGAAGTGATGAGTAAACAAGATGGATGAAGCTCACTACTACTACTCTGCTTAATAACACAATTAGTAGGCTATTTGATCCCAGTAGAAACAATATTTAAGCGTGGTTTCAAAGACAGGGCTTAGATTAATCGAGGAGTAGGCCTCAATTCGCTTTTATAAACATTTCTTAGAAAAGTACATTACTGGTGTGCATCTTGAGACAAAACAATGGCACTGATATATTTTAAGCTATGTCAGTCCAAGATGCTTTCAGTTAAGACAGCTCAAAATGTATTTTAGTCTTGTTTGTGAAACCGGGCATTATCCACATACCGATACGATACCACACCAGAACATGACACTACTAAACGCCACAGTGTCCATCACTTATAGATCAAACATAAGTCTCTCATTCCATGACATGACTTTCACCCACATTTGAACTAAAAGACTGTACATTTTTGAAAATAGATAAGTCATGTGATCAACACAGAATTGATAAGACTCTATTGTGACAAGACCTTTGACAGTGTAATGCCTGTTTTTTTTTATTAATGTGACTTTCAGTACAAAAAGGCCATGAAACTCTAAAAATTGTTTTCCTTTTCAACAAACAGTCAGCGAAAGGATGTGCTGAATAAAATGTCAATCGGAAACCTTGAAAGGAAAAATGCTTCACTGTTATTTTTTCCTTTACAAAAACATTGAATGGCTAAGCTTGACAAATGCAGAAACGCTACCTAGTCCTAGCCTATACATTTTCTTCAAAGCATTTGTGTCTTCCTGTCATGCTGTAGAAAGGCTCAAAGGAATACTCATTAAAATGAGTATTTAAAAAGCTATTAATTTTACTCAAATAAAATCAGAAATAGTTCTTTGTCATTCAAACTGAGAGTCTCCCTTTCCTATTAAACTCTTTTCGCGTTTACCTTCTTCGACAAACAAACACCAAGGCTGGACAACCCCAGCCAGCATAAAACGGGTTTGTTTGTCTAATCTACTGAGCCACTTAGCAGCCGTGAACACAAAGTGACCTTGCAGGCGGGATATTACGCATTATCGACAACACTTTGTGAAGTGATTTTCAGCCGTCAGGTTCTCGCACGTCAAACACTAGCTACATTTGTCTTTGTTGCAGCGGTTCATTCAAGACACATGCAGATGAGCCCAAACGTGAGCCGTCACTAATTCCTCCAGCGACCCAGTCCGAGAACCCCGTTTCCCCTGGTAACCCGCCTTTGTTTGAGTAGCGACTGGTCACTCATCACGGTCGCCAGTGCAGTCCCTCTCCGGACGAAGGCGACAGCGAGGCCCGCATAAACGTTCAAACAAAATACTAATACAGAAGTACAAACAAACAGTTCTGCCCAAGACATATTTACTGTGATACATAACAAATCGTTTAAACAAATGATGTGCCATCAAAATAATGGCACTTTTTTCTCCCCAAATAGCAAGAATAAACATGCCAACACTAATTCTCCACTAGCCTAACGTTAACGTTACTCATCATAACTTTGATGAACCGTTTGCGCCCTTTTGACTGATGACAGCATATTACTTGCAAGCCAAGTGGTAATCAAAACAAACCAAATAATATTATGAAAACAGGTCTGAGCAAACCCTCTAAATCACCTCATAACTAGATAATAAAATGAGCTGCGGTGTCAAATGCGAATGAGACACATGGCTGTAATTTAAAAACCCGATGGAAGCATTTTGCCGCAGCACGATAGCAGGTTCCCCCAAACCTACCAAAGCGGCTTTCGTGGTTGGCCTCAAGGTAGCAAACCGCTACGCAACAATCAGTCCCCAGCGGTCCCAACAATGCAACTCTTTATATTTGCAACAATGCGCCTTTGGAGCATAGGAATGAACGCAAAATCTGCTCATACTGACCTGGCGTTCAGGGGAATCTGGGAGCGGTCATGCCCGTTAGTTGGAGAGTCTTTGAAATAAACTTTTCCCTTGCAGTCCTTGGCACTTGCGTGAAAAGATACTGCGCGGCAGCAACACAAAACACACGATCTGACCGCCTCGCGCTTCCAATCGCAGTAGGTCTCTGTGTGAGTGCATGCGCGTTCGCGTCGCTGCGCACTCCCGCCTGCCCTGTGAAGCTCTTTCGGACTGCTGATGCTCCTGTGCTACTGCATCAGGCCCCCTCGTGGTGCTGCAAGGCTCCCACTGATCCCCCTTCTGTTCAATGCAAAGTACGCAGAAGCGTTTACGTAGTTCTGCATGCTGCACGACACTGTCAAACATTTTTTTGTACACATTTAATGTTATTTTTTTTAAAAAAACGTTTATTTTTTATTATATTTATTCTATTGATTTTTTTGCATTTATCATTATATATTTTATTATGTATGTATTATTCATTTAAACATTGTTTCATTTCTTATCTATTATTCTCTGTTCTGTTCTATTCACAAAAATCCTTTTGTGTGAAATTTACCCAGATTGCAGGGAATTTTATACGACGTGCTTATTTTCTTTTTATGATTTATTAAGGGGTTCGTTGCAATAGTCTTCTAATTTTTATAAAGTTAGTTCAATTTGAGTTGAAAATTCAATTTTAAAATCAGTGTAATTAGGTAAGCTTTATTTTCACGAGCAAATGTGATCATTTGTACAGAGACAACTATTAGTTTATGTGTACTCTGTTTCTTTTATATTCTGTAAGCAATTATGACCACACACATTGCCTAAATTTTTGTGTCTGTGAATTTTAATTAGCCACAGTTCATGAATCACTTTCCAGGAGTAACTGATACATTTTAACAACTAAGCTGTCACCAATAACATTGTATTTTATTTGATTAAACTATTAATGTCAATATCACCAATGTTGTACATTGAACCTGTCCAATAGAGTGTGACATGTTCGACATTATATTATGCTCAAACTCTGTTGCTACAGATTCCAATTCCTATCCTTAATGAATATGCTCTCAAAGTGTAAATAGCCTATATGAAGACCTCCGATGCAAAAGCCTGTAAAAGCCACCTCTGTCAAAAATGAGAAAATAATTGAGTGAATGCTCTCCGCGCATAATATGCGCTCCTCAAAGACTTTCAATTCAAACTCACTAAATTCTAGAAGCCTGAAAAAATGTGTTAATATTAAACAAAAACTTTAGACGGACTAAGAGGTTTTTGCATCTGAAGTCTTTATATATATATATATATATATATATATATATATATATATATATATATTAATTGTACATTTCTTAGTTGTCTTAACATTTAACTTGAAGATTTTTAATATATTTTTTTAAAATAATCATTATTTAGTTCAGTTTACATATTTCAGTATAAATTCAGTAAAAAACTATCTTTAAATTTCCTCAGAATGTCAGAATTATTGTGTGCGTGTGTGCGTGTGTGTGTTATCATACTCTTATTCTAAAATAACATCCCTGCAGAGAAACAGTTCAAGTCTTCCGGTTCTGGGCGGATGTACTCACTTGTAGTCCTAGGTCTGCATTGCTGCGGGTTTAAGAATGCACAAAAAACTACAATTCCCGTCGTTCTTTGACAGGGTTGTAGGAGTGTACAGTAAAAAAACAGCGTTCTTTCTCATGCTAAGCATCGTTGTCGTTGAATGAAAGTGCGTATATTTGGATAGAGGAACTAGGCTGAGTAAGAAATACATGAAAAGCAAATCTGTGCACATTATCCCGTCTCAGTTGTTAATCTCATAATTCAAATATGGTGTAAGAGTTACAATCTTTTAAAGGCGCTATTAGCTTTTTTATTGTGCAGCACCTGCTATGGACCTGTCATTGCGCAGTTGCAAAAAGTTAGTTCATTTGGACCTGAAAGGGGCACCTCCTAGAATTGACTACCTAATTCAGGTACAACTCCTTTTACTCTAATAATATAACCGTCTTAATAAAACAAACGAATTAAGGAATAAACACGATTATGTTTCCTCAGTTGATCCAGTTATTTGCTGATCTTGGTGCCAATGGCTTGCTCATTGAATATGAGGATATGTTTCCCTATGAAGGAGAGCTGAAAGTTCTGCAGTCTACGACTCAGCCTCCATACAGGTGAGGGTATATATTTTAAATGTAGATTTTTTTTGTGTGCGATAATTTATCTGATAAAAAATGAATAATATTCAAACAGCCGTGAGGAGATTGCATCTATCCAGGATGCTGCCAGTAAAAGAGGGCTGGAGATCATTCCCCTGGTGCAGATGTTTGGACATTTGGAAGTAACTATGAAACTGATTTTGTCATTTACATAAAGTAAAAAAGAGCCAAAGATTTGCCAGTTTAATATAAAAAATACTATGCATTAAAAAAATTTATAAACTAAATCAAATCATGCATATTCAAACATTAATATTTACAATTTTCTCAATCAGTTTGTCCTGAAGCACAAGGTGTTTAGAGATCTGCGGGAGGTGGACTACTGTCTGGGAACTCTAAACCCTCACCATGATCGAGGAGTTAAGCTGGTGCTAGAGATGCTAAAACAAGTCATGAAGCTTCACCCTAAAAGTACCAACCTGCACATCGGAGCCGATGAGGTGAAGTTCAACCCTCTGTCAATGAAAAGAGTCATATGTCTGATTCCTGCAAGAAAAACTGTTGCCTCGAGAGTTGGTCAGACCTAGAAAAAAATAGATGTCTGAAATAGGTTGCTAGTTTAATATTGGTCTATTGATGAAATAAATTTTTTTTTTATTTTCATAGGTGTACATGCTTGGTCTCGGAGATGAGTCCAAACAGTGGTTAAGTGCTCCAGGCCGTAGCGTTCACAAACTGTTCCTCAGTCATGTCATTAAAGTGGCGAAGGGAATTCAGAAAAGTGTGCCCAACCTTAAGTTGATCATGTGGGATGATATGCTCAGGTCCATGACCCCTGAGACCATTAAAGGTGAGCATTTAATTATTTAATTATTATGATTTTGCTGTGTACAAGAGGAAAGGATATAATCAATAAATAGTTTAATATGTGAAAAATGTCTTAATTTCACCCTCATGTTGTTCCAAACCTAAGTTTTTATGTAACCTCTTAATGACAATGTTTGTTTTTGTGTAAGCCATCTGCCAATTGCCAAAAAAAAACATACAATTATACATAAAAAGACAATAGAAAGACATTTTGGAGCAGGTTTAAACCTTCAAACAAGGTCTAAAGGCCTGTTCACTGAGGAGGAGGTTCACTTTTTTTAATTGTTGGTCTTTGACTGATGCGACACATCTTGCTGTTCAGAAATTGTACTTAAATGCTCCACGTCTTCCACACTTACACATAGTGAAATAAAAGAAATTAATATACTGTTAGTAATGACCAAATCAAATGTAACAGAAATTCCTATCCAATTTGTGATCTTATTCTAGAAAGCGGTCTTGTTGGATTAGTGCAACCAATGTTGTGGGATTACAGCCCTGCTCTGGATGTCAAAAACACTGGTACGTTGCTCAGAAGAATTCCACATTACGTTTAAGTTACTGTTAAAAACTTTGAATTATTTGTTCATAATAATGCTTGGTCATTTCACATGCACTCTTTCCAGTTGAGCTAATGGAGCTATATAAGTCTGCGGGTATGTCACAGCAGTGGGCCGCCAGCTCTTTTAAAGGCTCAACCGCCGTGCACACCTGTGTGACCAGCACTCAGCGGCATGTGGACAATCATTTGCAGTGGCTCAAAGTGGTATCCAGCCTGTCAGCTGGCATTGAGCTACAGGGAATTGCACTAACTGGATGGCAAAGGTTAGATGACATTCTCACTATCACTAGAATCAGTCATCTTATTGACCAAGGCAACAACATGTATGTTTCTTTTTTTCTCCCTTAAGATATGACCACCTGTCTGTTTTGTGTGAACTGATGCCTGTGAGTTTGCCCTCTCTGGCGGCTTGTTTGCAAACTGTTCTGCACGGTCAGTCTCTATCATTTTTAAGTTTCTTTTTCTTTATGGCTTGCGTGCCAAATTGGTGGGAGCAAATGCATATTAAGAATGCTAAACTCACTATAACTGCTCACTGTGATTCAGGGAGCTTTACTGAAGAGGTTCAAATGAAGGTGGTTAAGACTCTTGGCATTGTGGAAGTAGGAGACTTAGAGAGGTACCTTTCATTCATGCACGTGTCCTCAAAGAAAAAAGCATGTGAGTGTGTAACACTAAGAACCTCAAGGGTTATGTTGAAATAGACTAATTTACAGCATATTCTTTGGCCTCTGTGACCCAGATCGTCTTCCAAGATGCCTTCCTCCTTTGTTGGGGCGAAACTTGCTGAACTCATAGTGAAGCTGACGTCTTTGCTGGAGTCTGCAGAACTGAGACAATTTCAGAACAATATGTGAGTTCAGGGCTATTAGGGTTTCAGTTTTAAAATATGCTTTTAAAGTTCTCACTGACTGTTATAATCATTTTTTACATAATAGGTTTGTGAGGGGCTGGTTCACGCCTTACCACATTCAAAGGAAGACCGTTAACCCACTAATTGCTCAACAGATTAAAACACAAGCAAAAATGTAAGTCTTTTATTATGAATACAGTAGTGTATGTTTATATTTTAAACAAGTCCCTTATATGATAATACTGTATTGTTCTTCTCGTCTGCTCCAATAGGATTCTTGATGAAGTGGAGATTCTGGTGCAAGAGGTGAGGGGAGAGATGTGTCTTCTGTACTCAGTCTCTACAGTTCAGGAGTGGATGGACCAACATGTCACCCCAGTGCTGGAGCCTCTGCGCAACCTACTGAGAGACACCGAAAGAGTTCTAAATGAAATGGGATTCTGTACTTAATCTACCTCTCAATCTTAATCTTAAATTTGGTGCATGAATTTCATTTGAAAACTTTCTTTGGTTCCTTTCAATTTAAAATCTACTTGCAATGCAATGTAAAACATATAGAACTGAGATGGCTTGTGTTTGTGAATAGCTATTGTATTCTTTAAAAAACAAATGCAAAAACAAATGGGGGGGGGGGGGGTAATATAAATGTAATAAAATAAAACACTAATATGGTATTTGTTTCCTTTAAAATGATCACCAACCAATATGTATTATGTACATGAATGAAATTAAAATCTCTCGTTCTGATTTCCATGCAGAATAAATACATTTTAAACTTTTAAACTTGTTTTTCTTTTCAGCGGGATTGTTGAATTAATCCATCCACAGAAGTGTTATTTTATTATGATTATTATTATACTATTAATTGATATTTTGAATTAGCTTGACATTTTTATTAGGTTTTTATGTATGTATTTTATTTCAATTTTATTTTTTTATTATTTAAACTTATTTCGGTTAGCTTTAAAGCCAACGTTTCTACGAACATTATGTCTGAAATAATAAAGATGCCAAAAATACCATTCTCCAGACTTTTATTTTGTCACATATGGAATTACTTGAACGGGAAGTGATATGTTAAGTCTCACCCATAATATTAGTAGCTTGCATGGGTCGTTTGGATAAACAAAACGTATCAGTAAAGCGTTTTACGGCATTGTACGCTATGTCGCCTCGCGTGAACGTTACTAACACACCGCAGCAATTTTGCCGTTGTCGTTATCAGCGCGTGTAAACCCGGGCCGTTTAGCGTAACAGCGCCCTGCGGAGCGCATAATAAAGGCATTTGGTCTCTGATCAAGACGGAACTGACTGTTTGTGCTGCGAAAACATGGCAGAGTTGCACGTTGAACCCAACCCGACTGGCATCATCGAGCAGACCGAGCATTGTGAAATCAGAGGCTCAGTGAACGTGAGACTCCCCTCCCCTACTCTGGTGATTCCGCCCCGGACTGGCTTGTCCAGTCCAGGGGTCTCCAGCTCCAGAGCTGTGTTTGGGTTTCCTATGAAGAGCAACCCCACTTCCCCATCACCAGAAGCCACAGAGAAGCCAGGATCTCGGTGGGTTCGGTTGAATGTCGGGGGAACGTACTTTATTACAACGAAACAGACCCTGTGCAGGGATCCTAAATCGTTTTTGTATCGATTATGTCAGGACGATCCAGATCTGGATTCGGATAAGGTAAGGCTCTGTTTACATCATTAAAGCACGTCATGACATGTAATTTTTCATCTGTATGCAACGGTAACATTGGGAATGAATACATTGCGGACATACAGGGTTGTATGTGTGCATTTTATTTTGTACTGCACATACATACATTCATAGTGCATACACATGAAGCTCAGCTGGTAAAATCCAGCTTAAATGAATACAATTCTGTCATCATTTACACATGTCGTTCCAAACCTGTATGACTTACTTTGTGGAAACACAAACGACGATATTTTATAGACTTTTGGTTACCAAACAGTATTGGTTTCCATTCTGTGGACAACAAAAACATTTCTTAAAACATCTTGTTTTATGTTCCATAGAAGAAATAAAGTGGTGGTTAATGATTTTTAGGTTAATTAATCCTGTAAGATTGGGGGAAAAAACAGCTGGTTTCTACATGGTCTAATTTAGTCATTATCACTTTCACCAGTTAGTTACCAATTTCCATTAACCACCTTGGCTTGACCACCTTAAGATGATCACCAGTTAACTGGTTTGTTGTTGTTGCAAGGTAGTCTACCAGTTTGGACCAGGCAATTACCATTTTAGACCAGCTAGAAACAGGTTAACATTTTCAAGAACCAGCTTTTCTTCCCTATTGTGAAGTATATCTAAGTGAATCGACTTCTCCTAAAAGAAAAAATGTAGGGTGGGACTTTATTTTTTCCATCGGAAAAAGGTTGAATCATTGGTTCTTTGTGTTTTGCCTTTGCTGTGATCTCATGAGAGTGACAGGTTGTTCCATCCTCAAGCTTATAAAACATCACAGAAGAGATGTCAATGTCCTTGCAAGCAATGGGAGGGGACCTTATTTTGATTAAAGATTATGAGGGAACATGCATTTAAAAGAAAGTTGTACAATGATAAATTAAATGCTGCAATAATTCCATAAATAAGTATTGTCAATTATGATTTGATATCGTGACTATATGCTGGTTGCATTTCATACATTTCTTGCAGGTCCAAGAAAGTTTACTAGCTTGCTCCACCATCTTGACCATCTCTATCTAGTCATGTTAAGTTTTCTACTAACTTGAACTGCAGGGTAAAGCAGGGTGTACAAGCATTTCACAGTGCTCACAGTATTTCCTCTCCAAGTTGTCAATTCATGTAAAAATAGACATCACAGTTTGCAGTTTAAAAAAAAATCACTAAAGATTCTCATTTGAAAAAAGCTGTTGTTGATACTCTAATTTGCCCTAATACTGGAGCATGAAAGGTCTCGCAAACTGGGTTCTAGAAATGTTGGTAATCAGTCGCTTTTAAAGCTGCAGTCTGGCGTTTTTCCTCTTTGTCGCCATCTCTGTTCGAAATCTGCAATTGCAGTCATTCGCGGAATTATCAACTTTATGTGAGTTTACTTTAACATCCATTATGTGTACAGATGTGACGAAATAACGCAAAGACCTGCTCGAATCTCCCGCGGAAATCAGCCAGGACCACTGGAATTAAAAACATGATTACAAGCTTACCGCTTCGAATCAAGCTACTGCAAGCAGATGGTTTTGAACACTGGCTAGTTATGTATTTTCTCAAGTATGTTTATTTTGGATATTTTGGATCATTTTTAACCCCAAAAAAGCTACAGACTGCAGCTTTAACTGCAGCGACTAAATCAGTGATGGTAAAGGAAATCGAAAACTATGAATTGCAATTGCAAATAGCACTATTCACACTGTTAGTTGTCTTTTCTCACAGGATGAGACAGGAGCATATTTGATTGACAGGGATCCCACATATTTCGGACCCATCTTGAACTACTTGAGGCATGGAAAGTTGATCATCAACAAGAACCTCGCTGAGGAGGGTGAGATGATCTGGGCATGCTGCCCTCAAAAACTTCTTAATGGAACAGTAATGACCTAGTTTCATTTAGAAACATCAATTTTTTTGTGGAAAGGGACCACAGTGTACTCACGTAAGAGATAATTTCCTGCAGGACTGGTGAGATATTGAAAGGCTTACAGTCTATGTGTCCAATAATTGTGTCTTTTTTTTGTGAGTCATTGCTCCAAATTGTGACAATGGCAGTTATTGCATGATGTTTTTGTTTTGTTACCAATTTGGTCTACTTGTAGTGCATAATTTTTGTATTGCTTTTTTCATTGGCATGGATGTAGCATTAAAGCGATAGTTCACCCAAAATGTTTAATTCTGGCTTCATTTACTCACCCTCATGTTGTTCCAAACCTCTATCGTTTTCTTCGTTCTGTTATAAGTCCACACAATGAAAGTCAGTGGCGTCCAATGATATTTTGGACCCCATTGACTTTGATTGTATGGACAAAATAGTTGAAACAAATTCTTTTGTGTACCGCAGCAGAAAGAAAGCTATACAGGTTTGGTAGGACATGAGGGTGAGTAAATGACAGAATTTTCATTTTTGGTGTGAACCATTCTTTTAAGACTATATTTTTCCAGATATTTATTTCTGATTACAAAGCAGTAACCACATGATGGATTTTTACTGATTCTCTGGTTACTGCAGGTGTTCTGGAGGAAGCAGAGTTTTACAACATTGCGTCACTTGTGAGGCTGGTGAAGGAGAGAATACGAGACAATGAGAACAGAACGTCTCAGGTATGTGGGAAAATAACAGCTGGAGGAACAGGACACTTTGTGGTTCTTTTAATCCAATCAATCAGCAAATTTGTTTGTATCACCACTGGCATTACTCAAAGGAGGTATTTCATTCCTCGACTTTAAGTCTGTGCCAAAAGGAAAAAGTACTACTTATCATTAGAATGTGAATCGAGGAATGATTCTGGACTCAACAACAGAGGGCACTGCACTCTGCATTCCTCATTCCAAACTATTTAGGAACTGAAGGGAACTTTATTTGAATCAATGTTCCTATAATGAAATAGACACACATTGACTTAATTAGAATTTGCTTTATGGGAATAGTTTAAATGATGAGAGACTTTTCATTTTAGGGTACTCACCATCATGTCGTTTCAAACTTGTATTTCTTTCTTTTTTCTGTGACATGCAAAAGAAGATGTTTTGAATAATGTTCATGCTGCACTTTTCCATTCAATGAACTTTGTGCTTCCATTGTATGGAAAATAGTATGCTCTTTCTAATTCAATGGAAGAATTAAACTATACAGGTTTGAAACATCATGAGGGTAAGTAAATGATATTTAATTTAACTTTTAATTTTGGCTGAACTATCCTTAAATGGGTTTCTAAAAACCTGTGCATCTTCAGAGAATGAATTCTGTGTGAATTAATTGTGGAATATGATTGTTTTTACAGGGCCCTGTGAAGCATGTGTATCGTGTATTACAATGTCAAGAAGAGGAGCTCACTCAAATGGTTTCCACCATGTCAGATGGATGGAAGTTTGAACAGGTAGGTTTTGTTTTCTCTTCACAACCCCATCATATAATGTTTAGGTAGAGGTAGAGATCCTATGTCTAGACATGCAGTATTTTATTGTAGCATATTTTAACTCTGACATACCACAGATCTCTTGATAGCTCCTTGATGTCTCATCAGGTTGTTTCTTTTAAGTCATGTCCCTCCAAATAACAGATTATAGATGCTATACATTGTTTTTGAGAGACAGGCTACGTCAACACCTTTCTTTGGGACTTATGTAATTTGCTGTTTCTTATCTGTTTGCTATGGTAAAAACTTGACTCAACTTGTCCATCTCAAGCTCATAAGCATCGGCTCCTCCTATAACTATGGCAACGAGGACCAGGCCGAATTCCTGTGCGTCGTTTCCCGGGAGCTCAACAACTCCACTAACGGAATTGTTATCGAGCCCACTGAGAAGGCTAAGGTATGATGAACTCTCTCCTTTTTTTTTAGTTTCCTTATTTAGTTGAATACATTTTTTTGAAAACTACTTTTTTTGTAACAAAATATGATATTTTGTTATAAAATATAATATTTTGCTACAAAAATGTTTTCAAATAAATTATTAAACTAAGATGAAGTTACAATATTATTATTATTATTATTATTATTATTATTATTATGTTTTGTTACAAAAAAGTTAAAATAAATTGAATAAATAAGAAATAATAATACAAATGTGCAGCCCTTCAAAAAGCACAGCAAACCTGTAATAATTTTAAATCACAAATGGAATTTTTTATCAGAAATTCTTTCTGATAAAAAGATCTTTCGTCCTGACAAAGATTTTTTCCCCCTATTGTTTAGCCCAATTATTATTATTTTAGTTATAGAAAAAAGTTTCAGTTAAATTATTAAATAAAGTTAAATAGTAATACTGACTATTATTGTTATTATTAGTAGTAATAATAACAGAAGTAGTTAATCAAATAAATAAAATAATAATACAATAAAGTTTAAAAAAATAAAAGTGGTATTATTTAGTGTTTATTAATGGTCCTTAAAGGGATACTCCACCGTTTTTTCATATTAAACTATGTTATTCCCTTAATTAAGACGAGTTGATGCATACCTCTCTCGTCTCAGTGTGTGCACTCAATCGCTCTGGCGCGCAAGGCACTTAACTAGCCCAGTTCTTTCAATATGGGCGAAGCAGAGAAGCGACCAAACACCTCCATGTTTTCAGTTCCAGGTTTGCATCAACTCGTCTTAGTTAAGGGAATAACACAGTTTAATATGAAAAAAAACGGTGGAGTATCCCTTTAACTTCCATAACAGATTAAGGAGAATTTTATTTCATGTTTCCCCAACAGATCCTTCAGGAGAGGGGGTCCAGGATGTGAGGAGCCCAGACAGATCTCCCATCCCTCACTTCCCTTCTCCAGATCCTCCTCCACCATACAGCTGACTTCAAGTTCATTAGCCCGCCACCCCTCACCTCACCGTCCCCTCCTCCCTTGTGCCTTTCCACTGTGGGGGTTTCAGCCCCCCTCCTCCCTGCAGTGCTGCAACATTAACCAATCAGCACCACCCCTAACTATCACTGCTATTATCGACTAATCGAAAAATGAGGTCAAACCTCAGATCATCTCATTTGAGGCAAAACTGATCAGAGAGAGGATTACAGGGAAGGATTCATCATTCATCCTAATGCTTATTTATGCAGACTTCATGATCATCATCCTCCTCATATCCCAGTCATTATCATCATAATCTTTACAGTTGCTGGCTTTAAATGTTTAAAGGGGGATCAGTTGCCCCTGTTGGCTCGACTGCATCCACATGACCATAATCTCCTCAGGACTTCCAAACGGACTCCAAGACTCCATCTCTGACAGTCAATACAGCTTCTATTAACAAGCGCATTATCAGGCAAATCTGCATCATTTCAGCATTCACTTCCCATTGCCTGGTCACACCAAGAGCACAGCAGATGGCGCAATGGATAAATAGAAGACATCGGCTTTTGAACTTCTTCAGAGTGGCATGTTTCTTTCGTTAACTACCCCATTTACTCATCTGGAAAGGACTAGAGGAGAAGGGAGAACTCATACTGCCAATTGTCCGGTCAGATGCCCAAAATCACGCGTCCATCGCTGTGAAGATGTCTCACATTTCCAGTTCGCTCCGGTTGATTTTTGTCATCCTGGATTTTTTTTATTTTATGCCTTGTCGCTGGATATTTCAAAGCATCAAAACAGGAAATAAATAACAAAACAAAGAAATATGTGGTTGTAGGGCATGTGAGGCTTATGTGTATTACAAACGTATGTATTATGAAGAGCCCAAATGCAAGTCATTGTTAATATCTGTACTATAGTCGTGTTTTTTTTTTTTTTTTTTTTTTTTTTTTGAGGGGGGTGTTTATCAAGATGAGTTTCTCTATTTTATTGGGGGAGGTTCTGTATTGAGCCCTAATGTAATTTTTGAGATGTGAATTTGTTGCGTGGTTCCTTCAAACTTTTTGTCGATGACTGGAAAAAAACAGGAGATTTCTTGCATAGAGCTATCAAGCCTACATAGTCCAGGTGGTTCAAGAGACTGTTGTAAGACAAAGTGCCCACAAGTTTTGAGTCAGGGCAAAACTGCATTAGTGGCTCTTTGTTGCATCTTTTTTTTTTTTTTATACACATTTCTGACATTTTAGATTCAGATATATTTCTCCCCGTAACATTTTGCCTATTTAACTGTTTAACAAATTTTTGTTCAACAAAGTCTGATCACGTCAGTGGAATGTTTTTAAATGTAAAGGGCTCCATTTATTGTGGAACGTTCTTGTCTTTTCTCCCCCCAAAACTAGTTTATCACTAGAGGTAAATCATTTTAACATTGAAGCCCAGTCTTTGAAACCAGTTGCCCTTAAATAAACTTTATTTCCTGTTTTATTTTTTTTTATTTTTTTTTTTTTCATAAAAACATGGTTTTTCTGAATTACTGAGACTATATCACACATTGTCAGTGATTGAATGGTATCCAGGCTGACATTTGGTTATTCATATCTTTTGATAAGCTATTGAATCTAGGGATTGGTGTAAGATGACATCATGTGTGTGGACTTTAGGTGACATTTTTGTGGTCTGCAGTGTTTTAAAGTGTTGTCTCTTCCTATCTAAATGGCGTTAAGGATTTGACCTCTTTATCGCAGTTTACACTCGTGTCCTTTAGTTCATCATATCAAGAAGGCATAGTACTTAAGTTTGTGAGCTACAGTATACTTTATGTGGTTGTTGGTTTTCCTTTTTTTAATGTTAATATTTTCCCCAAACTGGGGAGAGTTTATTTGTTCAGCCTCAAATATTAACGGGACCTCGACCATCTCACAGGATCCTATTGTACATTCCCATTGTTCAAATAGGCTTCAGGTCTGGTTTCAAAGCAGAGTCCTGGATTCAAATCTAGAGGGCACCATTTAAGTCTCTCTCCAACCCACTTGTTTGTCTGGTGTTGTGCCTTTGACCTGTCGTGCCCTATGTGTTTTTCACTCTTGGATTTCTCTCCTTAAAATGCAGAATCTTAAAATTGTATGGTTTTTTCTTTTTTTTTTTTTTTTTTTTTGACTAAGTCAGTTCTGTTCCTTGACTCAGATACTGAATGTACCAATTTCCCCTGAGGTTATTGTTCTTGTTTCAGCGGTTCATCTATATTTAGCTTTTTCATTTCTGCCCCAATGCACTTTTAATTTTGCACCTACCTACATTATAATGTTCTCACTGTGTGGATTTTGTTTCCAGATTTTGTTCTATTTTTAGAATCGAACCCTATGTTAGGCATTAGAAAATGTCATGTGAGGTCTCAAGTTTTATTTAAGACGGTTCAGGAAACTGATATGAATGTCACATTGACTGCTGATGCTTTACAGCACTTGAGACTTTGAGACTTTTGTCTCGTTTCCTTAAAGAAATCTGCCATTCTCCTTTAGGTCTTGTGCCACATGTTGTTTAAGATCAAACAAAAAGATGCTATTCTGAAAAACCAGGAGGTTGGCGTTTTGGAACGGCAACTTGGAAGCATGCAATGTGTTGAGTATGTAATGTTATATGCTGGGATATTGTCATATTGTAAAGGTGAATTGATGCATGGACAGTTTACAGATAGTATTAATAACACTTAAGTGGAAAATCTGGCCCTATTTGTTTGTTTTGTAGAGATCACTAAAATCAAACTTGGAAAACTTGCTTGCTATGGCAAAATATATTTTGCAACACCCCGTGTATTTCTATTTGGTTTAAAAAAAAAAATTGACTTTCAATGTTTTCCAGACAGCCAAAAGTGCAGTATGTCAACATTTTCAGATAAGAGTTGAATTTTAACTTCAACTTTTTAAACAGGATAGTTTGTTTTTATCCCTGCCATGATAGTTAGTCTACAACATCTGCATGCTTTATTATACTGTACACATACATTTAAACGTGCTGAAAACCTGCTTTTTCATCAGATGTTTTTGGGTGTATTGCATTGTCAATAGTATTGATGTAAAGTGTCAAATATGTCACTAGGCTATGGAGATTGTGGAGCTAAGTGTTCTGGAAATGAATAGTCTTGATCAGACTGTCCTTTTCAATATTCATTTTTTGTTTGTTTTTATTTTTGAAGTTTGTCTTCTGATGCAGTTTTTTTGCAGTGTACAGATTGCAAAATGATAATGTTTGATTTTTATCATAAAATGTGTTTGTGTTTCAGACTTGTGGCATGTACACTTTTTTACATTAAAACTTTTAATAAGTATTCTGTTTAAAAGAAACATTTTGACATTTAAAAAAATATAAATCTATTATATAAATGTATATTATATTTTAGTTTTTGCTCACAAACCATAATTTTTGGACAACTAAATTTTTTTTTGAGCCTTTAAAAAATCACTATTGAAATGTTAATTTGCCATATCAGGAAAGCATCCTTTTAAAATGTACTGAGGTGTCATTTCCATGGATACCCTGTAAATTATACTTGGCTTTATGATTTTAAGGGATAATTTACCCCCAAAATTGTTATTTTGATCAGATATGTCGTTTCTTCCATGGAACACAAAAGGAGAAGTTGGGGAAGGGGACGTTTGATCAGTAACACTCGCTTTTATAGTGACAGAAATTCTTCTCAACATATTTTGCATTTTTTGTATTCCACTGAAGAAAGTTCCACAGGCTTTTCTTTCTACTTTATCTATCTCAGCTCAATGGATATGCTTTAATTACCTTGATCTAAATTTACATTGAAATGGCCGTAATATGTTTAACTTGTAAATGAATATTGGGAAATAACCGAGGTTTTGGCTTAGAATAAGATGCTTGTTTTGGATTTAGCTGACTGCACAAAGGACGTTGCGTCATGGGATCATAGCCTGCCTGGTACTTTACTGTTGGGGGTAATTTTACTTTTAATAATCCTAATACTTGTCTTGCCGTATGAATTGACTAAAAAATGCATTCAAATAAAGTCCGTGGTGGGTAATATTTGCTAAACTTCGGCAGCAAAATGAAACCGCCCTTCAGCGCTGTACTAAGGCGGAGGAGACCGAGTCGCTCTGGGGGAAAGGCAAGAGGAAATGCCATGCCATCGCCCCGGTGCTCAAATTTCCCTGCGTGTAGACTGTTGTTAAAGGAGCCGTTACCAATTGAATCGAGCTCTCTCTATTTCTGTTATGTAGTCATTGATTGTGCGATATGTGAAAGAACAGGTTGTTACATTAGCCTTTGTTTAATCGTCTCTGCCTGGAGCCTGAAACTGCTCCCACTCAATGCCTCCTCCTTACCGCTCATATGTGGTAGTCACCGCAGCCTCCGCAGCAGCACAGAGACGCGACTGGCGTGGATGCCTGAAAATGTGCTAAAAGGTTTGTTTGTTTGTTTGTTTGTTTTTAGCTTGTCAAGCTTTGAATTTTACCGTGTTTGAGTATGGCAATACGCATTTTCCCACTCGTGTCGGGTTTGAAGAACAAGATTACATTTTGACATTGACTCGTGTCATACCGGTGATGTGGCTAATTTCAGGTAATTTCATTAAAAGACCTTTTATGGATTTAGCCGGTCACGTCTTAAGGTTTTGTTTTTTCTAAAGTGTTTTGCAGCTATTGGAATCACATTGGCTAGGCAACGCATCGGCTTTTCGTTTAGTTTCTTTGTTGTATATAAAGTCGCTTCTTCCGGAAAAGCAGATGTGTCATGTTAACAGCTGCAACAAAAACACCAGAAAGGAGAATGTGAACTAAAATATAAGTGGTGGGGATTTTGATTCATCCCAGTGAGTCGAATCTTTTTATCTGTTTGTTCAGTGACCCCATACGTTAGGCTATAACGCCGGTCGCAACACATGAATGTCCTTTTATATTAAGAAGTTTGTCATTACCACCACTCACCCTCAGGTTGTTCTACATCTCAGGTTCTTTCTTCTGTTGAACACAAAAATATATTTTAAAGAATATGTTGACAGACATTTGACTGGCTGCCACTGACTTAGGAAAAACAACTATGTAAGTCACTGTATGGTTACCTTCTTCAAAATTTCTAACTTTGCATTCAACAGAAGAAACCAATTCACTGACTTGAAAGATTACAAGACAAACAACAACAACAAAAAACGACTACACTCAGGTGTGTTTTAGTAGGTTATAGACAAATGTTCGTTTGGTTAATATTAAGTTAGGCTACAGATGAAACAAACTGAAATATTTCTAAAGTGGTTGTGTGACCAACAACCCTTCCCCCTCTGGTCCACTCAAACTTGAAAAGCAAACAAAAAGAAGTTTGACAAGTTCATACTAGAACTCACTTTTCTAGCTTCACCTAGTATTTTCTATATTTTACTAATTCTGTCCTGTTTGTATGGAAAATGTTTTAAATGGATCTTTGTTCAATAAGATTATTGCATAACCCCCCTCCCCTCTTTTTATAGGCTTTTAGCCAGGACCCTTGATTTTGGTGATATAGAATATGCAAGAATGTGTTTCCCCACTCTTCTGGTGCTGAGAGCCCAAAGCCCTCCCTGACTTGATTAACATCATTTTGGAAACATGGCACCTCAACCACCTTCCAGCTTGGAGGAGCAGGAGGGGGAGCTAGATGAGCCTGAATCTGAGGGAGCGAAACAAGGACCAGGACCCCCTTCTGATCGAGATCGTCCAGCTACTTGCGATGCCCCAGATGGAGGCTGGGGATGGGTGGTCCTGGTGGCTACCATCCTTGTCTTAGCTCTGACCCTGGCCTTCCCCTCATGCATTGGCATCTTCTACTTAGATCTTCAGGAAGAATTTAAAGCCAGTAACAGTGAGACATCTTGGGTTCCTTCAATAATGACGTCTGTTCTGCATGCCGGAGGTAAGAATGTGATAGTCAGTTTTTGTTTAGAAGGTGCTCAACAGTTTGTAATTTCTAGCAACACCAAACAAAATTACAAAAATAATGACTTTCAGACATTCGCACATTGATCGGACAAACAAGAAGTCTCACCCCAAAACTTACAAGCCAATGTGGTGAAATCAGGCTGTTTAAATAACGGAGTAATATTCTGAAAGTGCCACAGTGTTTAAACTTTTTGGGAGAATAAACCTACAAACTGCTTTCTTGCAGAAATTTAACTTGCAAAAATACCTCCACTCCAGAGAGTTGTTACTTTTCCAGCAATTGATTTAAAAATAAACACTAATCAACAATTTAATTAAATTACCAAATTATTTAACTTATAAAACTTTATAAAAACTTTACTAAAAAAATATATATTTTGGAGTAGATATGCTATAAATACATTTATTTTCTCTCCACTGTGAGAAGGAAGTTTTGCTCATTATCTGATTAAGCTGCCGTCCCTTACAAAAGTGTTAATACCCTTTAAAAATAAATACGGGTAAATAAAGTGTTAATTTTTTTTTTTTTTTCATATTTTATTGTTGCTGCCTTACTTGAAATGACTTTTTTCACATCCATCTACAATCCACACACCACAATGACAAAGCAAAAAATACATTTGTGACAACTTGCAAATTTATTAAAGGTATACTCCACCGTTTTTTCATAGTAAATGTTATTCCCTTACTAAGAAGAGTTGATACATTCCTCTCTCGTCTCAGTGCGTGCACTCAATCGCTCAAGACACTTTGATCGCACTTAACTAGCCCAGTTCATTCAATATGAGTCCAAGTGCTCCCAAGCACTTGCTGTGGTATTCTGCCATACAATATAGTTATCCACTTTACACTTTACAAGTTATCCACTTTTAGAAAAGCACAACGTTTTATTTTGTGTCACCGTCCTAGGTCGAGTCACACTACTCGTGTAACTGTATTTAAAGGTCCCCTGACATGGGTTTTTTGTATTATTTTATAATGTTTCCTGGGTTGCCCTTATAATGTTAGTATGTTTTTTAGATCAAAAATAGTCATAATTTAGAAATAAAAGGCATTTTTCCTAGCCTGATTTTAGTCTGTTTGACGGGGCGTGTCTGCTGGGGATTCAATGTAACCGCCCACTGCTGTGATTGGCTGACATGCTTGCATATGAAATAGCTACATATTACATGTGAAACTGAATGAAAGTTTTTTTTTTTTTTTTAACTGTTTAAACATTTTTCTTCCAGGTCCTCTGTGTAGTGTGATGGTGGAGCGCTTCGGTTGCCGGGCGACAGTAATGTTTGGGGGAGTGCTGAGTGGTTTGGGGATGGCGGTCAGCTCTTTCTCACATTCAAAAGTTGACTTATACATCACTACTGGGGTCATCACAGGTCAGTAAGGCCCCAGATGAAGTGATTATGACATCTTGCTTGATCTGTGCTGTATAAAGAGCAACAGCATAAATGTTATTGAGTTATCATTATCACTAAGCGTTTTACTGCCTGACCCAATCATTTTCTTGAGCACACAAGAATCCTGCTTATGATCAGCAGGATCCTCACAGACTTTATGTATTTATTTTTCATTGATGATTGTTTAGAACTTTAGTTTTGTTTTGTAGTTTGTAATTCAGTTAGCAAGTGTGTAATCTATCAGTTAGTCATGCACGATCCTCTATTTGTTTTACAGGTTTGGGCTTCTGTTTCAGCTTCCAGCCCGCTGTCACAATACTTGGCCACTACTTTGTGCGCCGTCGTCCCTTTGTCAATGCGATGTCCTCCACTGGTACTGCTCTGGGTCTGTGTACATTGCCATTTTTAGGTGACTATCTGCAGAGCAAGCTGGGCTGGAGAGGAAGCTTTCTGGTGCTTGGTGCTGTCCTGCTCAACTGCTGTGTTTGTGGAGCCGTTATGAGACCGCTAAGGCCTCGCAATCGCAAAAAGTCAGAGATGATGACCAAGAGTCCCAGACCCCCAGGCAAAAAGGCATGTGTGCTGGGAATCTGTCAGAGCTTAGCATCGTTCCTCAGAAAACACATGGCCTTTGACCTCTTCTGCAGTAACCTGCGATTCCGGGTGTATTCACTGGGCATCACTTGGATGATGCTGGGCTTTGTGGTGCCACTTATTTACCTGGTCCCGTATGCATCAGCTCACAAAATGGATCCAAGCCGAGCCGCCCTACTTCTTTCCATCCTAGGCTTTGTCAACATCTTTGCGCGGCCTCCCGCCGGAGTGCTCTTCAGCCATTCCTGGTTTAAAGGTCGACACATCTACGTTTTTTCATTCGCACTTCTAATAAATGGACTCAGTAATAGTATCTGCTGCATTTCTCCTAGTTTCATTGTGCTGTTAATTTACGTGCTGATATACGGACTGTCCATGAGCGTGGTAGGCTCACTGATGTTCACCGTCCTGATGGATGCAGTGGATATGAGTCGATTCCAGTCTGCGCTCGGCCTGCTGTCCATCATGGAAAGCGTCACACTGTTGATAGGACCTCCCCTCGCAGGTAACATGAAAACTTTGTATTTTTAATTATGTGTAGTAAAGGTCGACAGCTCCATGTCACTGCCTGTGTATGTACGACTCAAATGAGGTGTGTTCAAAATCCTCCTGGGAAGTTCGTATTTAAGTGTTGGAGAGTCGTTATTACGGCGTCAGGTATGTTTATTTAACTTTTGTCGGTGTAAGGTACACATACGATATTGGGCTGTCCCAGATGAAAGATGACCAATCGTGGTGACATCTGTGGTCATGGCTCCTAAACTGTGGTCCTAGATCATATAGTGAGAAAGGTCCAAATACGGCCGTTGCCACGGTCTGGCGACCCAAGCTAGTCTGCGATCAGTTTCAGAAATTTAGCATGATCATGTCTAGGGTTGGGTATCGAGAATCGAGTATCGATTGGAACCGGGACTAACTTTTCATTTTTCCCGGAATCGTTCAAAAGTTAAAATTTCGATTCCTAGTTTCGATATTCAGAGTCCGCCGACCAGAAGAAGAAACCGCTGAACAACACCAACGAAGAAGCGTCTACCGGAAGTGTTGGCATAACCGCGAGAAGTCAAACATGAGTAGCTTACGTCGGCGGTCCATAGTGTGGCTTCACTTTTCTAAAAAATAACAAAATCTCGGCAAAATGCAAAATTTGTGACAAAAGGAGTATTTGTGACAGATGGAGTATTTCCTTCAGAAAGACCGTTGGTTAGCAAGGTTAGCTAAACTTTTTTGACCTTGCCTCTTAAAAGAATCGGAATCGAGAATCTTTAGGAACCGGAATCGAAACAAGGAATCGGAATCGGAATCAGAATCGTTCAAATTCAAACGATACCCAACCCTAATCATGTCACAGTGTTCAGTGCTGCAAGCTACGTTTACTGAATAGCCAATAAAAATGCAACATGAATTGGCTAATGATCAACATGACGAGGAGCTAAAATTTAAAACTACTTGTTCTAAGTCCATATTCTCCTCTTTTGCTTCCTCTTTTTTTCAGCGCACATAAAAATCACAATTGCAAAAATGCTATTCATGTTGCTCTGTTTTTTTTACCACAAGCACATGCTCATAATGCTTTATTTTTCCTTACTAAAGTAACTTGTGTCGTAGTCTGCGATTCAATAGGTGTCATCATCCCACAGTCTACACACGTCGTAGCGAAGTTTATTAGACCCATGTAACAGGCAGAAAGATTTTTAGATCTGAATGAAGAACAATGATTGTGCATCAGGTGTGTTTAATTAATTTCTGAAAAATGATCGTCCACTAGAGATGTTGCATCCAATGATCTTTCTCATTGACACACAACCAACTCGTAAACTCTGAGCTCCAGAGTTTCTCGCTCATAATTATGACCGTGGTGGCGTTCATGTTTGTTCAGCTCATTTCGACGTGACTTGAATGCACAAACAAGGCATCTAAACTCAGGAGACCATCCATTGAAAACAGACAGAGACTATTTTAAATGTATTTCCATAGATATTCAGTTCAAGTTCAATACCTTTATTTGTCCCCTCAGTGGGGCAATTGATTTCACAGCATAGGAGCACAGACTTACAGACATAAATACACATAGTATAATAAAATAACATAATGCACATTCTAATCAATTCCAAGATGTGTAAGCTACCTTACCCTCCTTGCATTTAGAAGAGAGACAGCAGACGGAACAAAGGAGTGTTTAAATCTGGATGTTTTGACAAATGGGAGTCTGAGCAATGAACCTGATGGTAAAAACTGAAACTGTTGATGTAAAGGATGAGAACAGTCAGTCAGGATGGAGTTTGCTTTCTTAAACAGTTGTTTTTTGTAAAGATCCATTAAGGTTTCTTGTGGACACCCAATAATTTTGCTGCTAATACCAACAACCTTGTTCAGTAAGTTCCTCTCCTTTACCCTCAAGGATTGAAACCAACAAACAAAGGAGAAGGTAATAGTAGACTCAATAAAAGAACGATAAAAGATATAGCATGGGTGTTTCTAGCTTTTCATTATTAGTAGGGTTTTCAGGTCTTGCAACACCCCTGATAAACAAAACATTTTGTAAAGGTGGTTGACCTGAAATACTTATGGAGAGTTGGAAAGTAAACTGCATTTATTGGGCATTAAGCTTGACCAAATATTTATTGTGAGCCTATTTTAACATTTGTACTTCAGTTGTCATAATACTTGATCATTTAGATTTGCTAAATCGGTCTCTTTAAAAAAAACAAAAACGTATTTTTCATAGATTTTGTGTTTTATTTTTTTAATATATGATTTGTGAGACACTTTATTATGCGTTATTGCTAAATATGCTATGTACATCTTTTTTTATTTGTTTTTTTTAATTTTATTTATTTTATTACTTCAAACTGTGCAGCACTCAACTCTACAAACAGCTTGACTTTTAACTAAGTAAAGTCACGACTATTTAAAAAAAATTACACTTTTTTTCTGAAGTTGGAAATTGGAACTTCTTTTTTTTTTTGGTTGTCGTTTAAACTTAATATTTAAACATGGAAATTATGGAAATTTAGTGAAGAAATAGTGACCAGTAACTGTTACTGGTCATTATTTCTCCACTAAATGTCCGTAAATTTAGTTTATTTTAAAATCCAGACATCCCAAGTCTCCCGGAAGATCTGGGAGTCTCCCGCATATTGATAGGGTGTCCCTGATTCCCGCAAATTAGTTAAAATCTCCTGTTATCTACACCACGCCTGCGAGACAGAACATTCTGTGCTCCGGTGTAGCGCACGCAAAACAGAGAGGGAGAGAGCGAGAGACCTCGCGTGTGTGTGTCAACAATCCAGTCAAAGTCGTATGAAAAAGTATGAACACATAATGTGTTTACCTAAAAATTCAACAGCTCTTATATCAAGATCATATCTTGCTTGGATCAGGAAATTAACTTTCCCATTTCCTGTCATGTCTCAACCTTCCTGTCAAAGTAAAGTACCATAAAAAAATGTTCAAAGGCATTCCCAACCATTTTTGCTGTATAAAGAATAAATCACTATGATACAGAATGAAACATATGTGATTGCATTTGTGACTATCTGTGAGGCGGTCTGTGCCTGTGTTTGAGTATAGAATCATGGAATGTCTTCTCCATTGTAACAGCACTAATCTGGATTTGCCTGATGGTGGGAGCGGAGGCTGTGTTCTCATTCTGGTCAAGCTTAACTGGTTCTTTCTCACACAGAAATGCCATTATTAGTTGAGCCAAGCACAACCTAGCACCTTGGAGTGCTACTACAGTAATACACATTTGTTTGGCTTACCTTATTTAAGGAAAAAATGGGGTGGGGGGCTACATAAGGTCTTAAACCTTCACAAACAGTCTTTTCAACCACACTGTATCATTGTTTTTAAATATTTATATTATCACAGAAGTATAAGTTTATAGTTCGGATATAAACAGTATTGAAACAAGTGAAGTCTTTATGAGTCATTGAATCAGTCATTCAAACTGTAAGAAAAAAATATCATTCAGATGAATTAAACATTTCAAATAGACAGAAGCGAATAACATTTTGTCAGAACCTCCAGGAAATTTCAAAAAGAGTAAAAAAAAATAAATCATGGTTTTGAAAAAAAAATAGCTTTCAACATTTATATTAATAAGAACCATTATTAAGAAATGAGCATCAATAATAACTGATCAAAATTTGAAAAGTATGTTTAAATAATTATTTAAATAATAAATACATTTAAATAAATCAATTAATACATTTAAATAAATATTTAAATAATTTCTGAAGGTTCATGTGATTTCTTAAGACTGGCTGCTGAAAATTCAGCTTTGGCATCACTTTAAATGGTAGGTATATTTCTTCACAATATTACAGTTTTACTGTATTATTAATCAAATAAATGCAGTCTGTTGAATTATTTTTAATTATTCCAAACTTGTGACCAGAAGTGTACAGGTTAATTCACAGTTCTTTGTTTTGTTTCCTACTCTAGATATGAAATGAACTGTTAAATGTTATCATATCTCTGTACCTGTGTTACAGGAGTGCTTGTGGACAGAACCGGACAGTACACATACGTGTTCCTGGCCTGCAGCATCTCAGTGGCCTTATCAGCTATTTTCCTGATGGTTTCCTTCTACTGGCTGGACTCCCGTGATGCAGCCCTGAAGAACAGTTTACCGGCGTCCGGGTCTCCAGCTAAACCTGCTGCAATCAATATGTCCACAGACTGCCAGTATAGCAGTGTGCCTACAGATGGGGACAAGACAAATAACCCATCATCAGAAGCATAAAACATCACAAATGTATGACCTGGATCAGAGTTATTTATTTTTTTGTAATTGTGATCTTTATCAGGTACAAAAATATGTTACCCCATTTTTTGCTATTATAGAATGTGCTGTTTAGAACTGTATCATTTCAGTGAGTGTCACATCCTGGTTGTTTTATGACTCACATCACTAGTTTGCCTTATACAGTATATATGCCATGGCGAAACAATGTTAGTTAAACAACGTTAGTGCTTAATTCAAGAAAATATTAGGAACCCTTCTTCATTCCTAATCTAAAATGACAGAACATTTCCGTTATTTGCCCAGGGAATTAAGCTATTTGAAGTCAGGATTTTTTTCATATCATGCTTTTTAATATGATTTTTCTTAATTTTTCACCAGTTACACCTCTGTTCATTTTGGGGTTTGTACGATTTTTGAAAGAAGTTTCTTATGCTCACTATAATGCTGCATTTATTTAATAAAATACAGTAGGGGCTATATAGTGAAATGTTATTACAATATAAAATAACTGTTTTCTATTTTAATATATTTGAAATTCACTCCTGTGATTGCGAAGCCATTACTCCGTCCAGATCTTTCAGTAATCATTCTAATATGCTGATTTTTGTACTCAAGAAACATTTATTATTTCTAATAATTATTCTTAATATTTTAGTGGAAACAGTGATATATTTTTTCTGTATACTTTGATAAATAGAAAGTTCAAAAGAATAGCATTTATTTGAAAGAAATTTTAGATATTTTGTAACAAATGTCATCAGTGTTGCTTTTAATGCATCTTTGCTGAAAGTCATGATTTCTTAAAAAAAAAAAAAAATCTTACCAACCCCACATTTCTATATTACACTGTGTTTGTTTTATACATAATTTGTGTCATAAGACCCATGCACTGACAAACCTGGCTCTTGTTGGAAGATTGTTGGTCTGATGTCTCTACAAATTCAGTAGGCTACTGTATAATAAATGGAGAAATTAGTTTTGCTGTTATTCCATGTGGGTCCTTAAAGTTTCTCAGTACAATTTAGTACAGACCCTCTTTGACCCAGACACATTTAAAACAAATAAGTTGTCCTGTTTTTAGTGAGTGCTTGGGTATGAGAAAACTTAAATTTGTGCCTAGGGTGTTTGTTAGGTTCAAGGATTTCACTGAATGAGATTGTGTTTGTACAAAGGGCCCAACAAAGGGCCCATTGTTATTGAGTGTCTTGAATTATTATTTACTGCTGAACAGAACAAGTGTCACATCTCACTTTGTGCTGATTTATATGTGAGTTGCTCTGTTATTGTGTTACTTTACCAAAGCAAATGACCAACTTCTAAAAGCTTAAAGGGCTGTGAGCCCCTTGAGAGAGAGTATAATTTATATCATGTGTAATATAAAGTTTTTACTATAAATAAAGAGTTTATTTCTATACTCAATTTAAATATAAAATTAAGATGTATGCAGATGCTCTGCTTTTTCTTTTGCTATCAATAAACAAGCAGAATTATTATTTGGCTTATTTTTTTCTAAGTAAACTTGTACCCACGTTATGTTTAATGCTTGGAAAAAATGTTTTTTAGTGCCATGTTTTAAAGCTTAGACAAATAATGAACTTTAAGTGTTAACAACGTACATTCTTAGCGTGCATGCTATAGTTATCCTTTTCAAGGCATGGCATAGCGATAATATCCTCCTAAAACACATAGCTACACAAAACTTAAAATATTGATGTTAATGTTTTTAGAAAATGCCTATAATAATAGTTTTTCGATATTAAAATCCTTGTTTACATACAGTAAGCATATTGGAGAGAAAAGGGCTGCACTTTCGTGAAAGGAGGACAAGATTACTTTAATGGCTAAACAGCGCTCTCTGTTGGCCACTTGGAGAAAAAATGAACGGTGACCGGGGCAGCGTAGTACGTCATGATTCGTCATACGCTCACTGCATACAAAACGTTTTGTGCACACCGAGGCTGCCTCGTTTTAAACAAACTATTAGCGTATTCCCACTATTTTCTCGATTCTTACTATTCTTATCCGCACTGACCTAAAAAAAAACAAACAAACAAAAAACAGTTTTGTCGCCGCCCACATGTGAAAGTGAAACCGAAGGTGATCCTTCGACAAAATGCAACGAGAACAACGAATGGTAAGAAATCTAAAACTTTATAATGTTTAGTGCATATACAATATATTTAAAAGTACTTGAGAAGATTATTGCTGCTATAACATCCTACCTGCTAACAGTTAGATTTAAATGGGTGTCAGGATGCTTTAGTTGGCCAGGCGAATTAAGAGACCAACTTGCCCATCAGCTAAAACCAACCAAAAGACTAGTCTGAATGGGCTATGTGACCATTGTAGTATGGTTTATCTGATTCCCTTTTGTTTTTCCAGTTTTAACATGAGCTCAAAGGCGTACCCCATACCCAGAGCTGCAGCAGAACACGCTGCTGTGTTGTTCTGTGATCTTGTCATCTGGGCTTTTGTGTGGATAGCACTGCTGTGGCTGGATGGAGAGGGCAGTCTGGATCTAAGGTGTCTGTGGGCTCTCAGGACCATGAGCTACGTTGTGCTTTATGCAGTAATCACACATGTCTCTGACAGTAGCAGTCAGCCTCACCTGAAGCACTGGGTAGCCCTACTGAGCTTCCTACCTCCTTTGTTTGATAGCATTCAGACAATGCTTCACGGGACTGGGAGAGGCTTTAGTCCTGTTCCTGATCCTGGCATGGTGATCCTGAGCACTGCTACATCTACCCTCATATATATGCTGTGGGAGATGGCCTTCCCACACGGTGGGCCATCTAAGGGTTCCAGGAACCAGAAGAAAGATGAAGAGGCCAGAGCACTCCTAATGAGGGTCATCCGCTACTCCAGGCCAGACTATCTTCATCTAGGAGCTGCCTTCCTCTTCCTCACCCTGGCGGCACTTTGTGAGTGTTTTTCCTGGTTGAAGAATCTAAAATATTGTTAGAATTAGTCTGTGATTTTAAATCCAAACCTTTTATCTACACGGAACAAACTATTGTAAACTAGATCCATAGTAATACCTTTTATTTTTTAGTTGAGACATTCATCCCATACTGCATTGGGAAAGTTATCGACATACTGAGTGGAAAGTACCAGCACAACAATTTCTTATGGGCCATTGGACTCATGGCTCTGTGTTCACTTGGAAGGTCAGTGTAAAATGCGAAAATCTTACTAAAAACGAATGTCTTTGTGTACAAATTGGTTTTGTTTCTCAAATTGTTGTGTCTTTAAGTTCTATGTTCACTGGTCTGCGCGGTGGGATGTTCATGTGTAGCCTCTGTAGACTCAACAAGAGAATACGACACCTGTTGTTCCAGAACCTCATGAAGCAGGAGATAAGCTTCTTTGAAGATAACAAACCAGGTATGAAACCTGTTCCTACTCTTTGGAAGTTGAAGTTTAGCACTAATTGTCTTTCTATGTAAATAGGGCAGATTAAATGTGTTTTTTGGGGTTTTTTTTTTTTTTTACCTTGTAATATGTAATAAGAATGTTATAACTGGACCTTTAGGTGAAAACAACAGACTTCCCTCTGGTGACGTATGCAGGACTACAATCTTTAAGTACACTTAAACCCTGACCCAGGAAAGCCTGTACATTTGGAGTGCAACACCCACATCTTAAAATCCAATCAATAACCAATGCTTAGAATCATATTTTAACTTTTTTCGATAATTCATTTCACTCGCATGTGCTTCACAATGCGGAACACCTAATGCTCTTTCTGTTTCATCGTGCATTTTAACACTACAAGCGCTGCAATTTATAAACACAGTGTCAAGTAAAGCCCAAAGTCATAGAACTGCTTCTTGCAGATGTTGCCGAGAAAAATGTTTCTTGAGTTTGTACTGGTGTCAAACTGAATAGGTTCAAAGTACAGAAGAAAGCTGAAGGCTTATGCCAGGTGCACATTGTACGATTTTGAGCTGTCCCAAATGAAAGATGAACAATCGTGATGATTTCTGTGGTCGGTGGTCCTACAACGTACAGTGAGAAAAGTTCAAATACAGCCATTCTCAAGGTCTTGCGCCCTTTTAGCCTGCGATAATTTTCTGATAGTGTCAGAAATTCACCTTGATCATCTCACAGTGTGTTTAATGCTACGACCTACAGTACGTCTACTGATTTGCCAATTGTATGCAACATGAAACGTTTTCACAAATGCACGTTTTTGTAGTTTACATGAAAACGATAACTGTATCATTTAAAAAAAATTGTATTTTGAATCACATTTTTTTATTTGCGTTTTCAGGCCCCCAAAACACAATTGTCCTGTAAATAAACAGCCAAAATGCACAAAAAGTTTTCAGTTTTTAGTTGAAAATGTGTCCCCCTAAAACTAAACAAGACAAAGAAATGACCGTGACATGGGGTGACATTTCTTCGACATGAAGAAAAGGTGTGAAACACATTTCACCTTTCTAATCATATCCACTGTTTTTGAGTGTTCCCATAGGAAGTGCCACAAGTTTCACCAAGTAAAAAAAAAAAAGAGAGATTGCATTCTGCTGCAAAGTTTTGCATTATTCCAAGAGTAGACAAAGCTACAAAATTGTTTATATTTGATAATATAGCCATTATTTAATATCGTGGCAATTTTTTCTCTCTTATAGGTAGTCTCACATCACGTTTAATCTCTGACACTGATAAAATGGGACGTTCTGTGGCCATGAATGTGAATGTGTTACTGCGAAGCCTGGTGAAGACATGCGGCATGCTGTTCTTCATGCTGGGCCTGTCCTGGCAGTTAACCCTCCTTACATGCATTGAAATGCCACTTCTTGCTTTCATTCAGAACTCATACAACAACTTATCCCAGGTAAGTAACCCTCCTCAAGTTCCTTTTCATTCCCGTGTCTTTCCTAACGACCTATCCTAATATTTTTGGGTAGACCATAAAGAATTCATAATGCCTTACCTTCCTGATTAGAAAACATCCAAAGAGCTTCAGGACTGTAATGCAGAGACTACAGAGTTGGCGTCTTCTGTCATTGGGTCGATGAAGACTGTGCGCAGTTTTAAGGCAGAGCATCAGGAAAATCAGCGATATGAACAAACTCTCAACAGGAAGTTCCAGGTTTTGAGGCGTAAAGGTTTCTACAGTGCAATTTATCTCTTAATACGCAGGGTAAATCATATACAGTCCTAAGTTGCATTCACTGTTCTCCTTAATAGAAATTGTTACAGTTCATTGATTCATACTAATAGCTATCTTCTTGCATTGCATTTTAGTTCATTACAGTGGGCTTGAAGGTAGCAATGCTGTTCCAAGGCCGAAATCTCATCGCGTCTGGACAGCTTAGCAGTGGCAGCCTGCTTGCGTTTGTGTTCTACCAGAAGGACATGGTGACCAACATGAGGGTAAGATGGCCGGGTAAATTTTACAGTTATTTGACCGTTCATTTAGAAGAGACTAAATTCTGTCCATAATTATATTCTCAGCATCTTGTATATATCTATGGAGACATGCTGAATACTGTGGGATCAGCAGTGAAGGTGTTCCAGCTACTCGATAGGAAGCCACAGTTGAAAGAGGCAGGCCATCTGGCTCCAGAGAAGCTTAAGGGAAGACTAACCTTTGAAAAGGTCACCTTTTCTTACCACTCCCGTCCTGATCAAATGGCACTTAAGGTACTTTTTCTGTTTATTCCGCAAAAGTTAATCATAGATTGAACTAGCGTGATTTGCATGTATTCATTGTTGAATTGTTGCAGTCTGTTACATTGGAATTGAGTCCAGGAAAGCTGACGGCATTGGTAGGGCCCTCTGGTGGTGGGAAGAGCTCTTGCGTCAGCTTGCTCCAAAGGTTCTATGATCCACAGGAGGGTGAGCTGTTCCTGGATGGAGAACCTCTGTACAGTTACCAGCACCAGTATTTGCATAAAAAGGCAAGAATTGATTCACCAGCATTTACCACCATATAACTTCAGGGGCCAGTTGGTCAAAAATGTAGTCTGGATCAGAATGATCTGGATTTAGAAATCCCATTTTTTGCAAACCAGGATTAGGTAAAATTTGAATTGAATCACCCTGATCCAGATACACACATTACTAGTGCTCTACAGAACCCCTAAAGGGGCGTACTGATAGAAATTATATGAGACAGGCGACAAAATTCAATGCATTTTTGCGTTCACTCGCAAATAATCTCTCTTTAAATTTAATTTTTTTTTTTTGTCTCATATTTCAAGCTGTTTGGCGATGATTTTTTGGCTTTTTTTTTTACTTTACTTGTAGGCTACCAAAAGGCTTAATAAGCCTAATGTCTACTTATAATTTGTTACTTTAACAGTTTAAACTAATCAAGAGGAAAGTTGTTTTTAAGTTGTTACATTTTTGTTCTTGAAATGCACACTTCTGCTGGGATTTTTTCCATCAAATGTATCCCAACTTACTAAAACCGTTTTAAACACAAACTGATGATTTAATCCAGAGTCGATTTTGTGATCTAATCCGATTTCAGAATACTTTTTTCTTTTGAACAACATATATTCAAGATTTGATACAATCCAATAACCAAAATCTGATCAGATAACTTTCGAACAACTGGCCCCAGGAGAGATATTAAAACATTCAATTCCATTGGATGGTTTGGTGAGACAGTAGTTTATAAATAGTAGTTTATAAAAATACACATTATTCTCTTTCATTTGGCTCAGGTGGCGATGGTATCCCAGGATCCTGTGCTTTTCTCTGGCTCTGTGAGATATAATATTGAATACGGTTTGCAGGACTGCACACTTGAAAGAGTAGAAGCAGCTGCTCGTAAAGCCAATGCACACAACTTCATATGCAAATTGGAACAGGGATACAACACAGGTAGATATAACTAAAGAAGCACCAATATTAAAATTCTTTCTGATGCTAAAGAGCCGTTAACTATTTTCATGTTATAGCCAATATCACATTTTTATACTTTTTTGTACTAACCTAACCAAAAAAATTTAAGAAAGCCTAGAAGTGAATGAAGGCATGACATTATACTGTTATACTGTGACATTATACATTATACTATATTACTTTAGGGTTAGTTCACCCAAAATTTAAAATTCTGTCATTAATTACTCGCACTTGTGTCGTTCCAAACACGCAAGACCTTTGTTCATCTTCAAAACAGAGATCTTTGTTGAAATCTGAGAGCTTCATGTCCCTCCATAGACAGCTACTGTATGCAACTACCACTTTGACACTTCAAATCCATGAATTGAGTAGTTTTGTCCAAATCTTCAATCGCTTTATATGATGAACAGATTTAATTTAGTCTTTTATTTACATATACACATTGATCAGCAAACATAAACAGAAACTTAACCAAACCTGCTTGACGCACGAGAACAAACCTCATTGGTTCTCACACGCCAAGCAAACATGCTTGAGCTTCCATTTACCACAACGTGTGAGGTGATGAATAAAATTATATTTACACAGTTATTTATAAATCAGTGACATGGTACTGATACGTGTATCCCTAAAAATAAATCGAGTTGGTGAAATTTGAATGCTTTTTCTGTAGATGTTGGCGAGTGTGGTGACCAGCTGTCGGCGGGGCAGAAGCAGTGCATTGCTATAGCCAGAGCTCTGATAAGGGACCCACAGATTCTTATCTTGGATGAAGCCACCAGCCACATGGACAGTAGCACACAACAAGCAGTACGAGCTCCTATGATATTAATACTAAATCTGCACAGTAATTATTTTTAAGCTGCAGTAACATTTATAGTGTCTATTCATGATCTTATTTCCCAGGTTCAAGATGTGCTCAATAGTATAACGGATCAGACAGTGCTGGTAATAGCTCATCGTTTGGAGACTGTAGAGAAAGCAGACCACATTATTTTCATGGAGGGAGGTGAAGTCGTGGAGCAGGGAACACACCGGCAGCTCATGGCCAAAGGAGGAAGATACTATCGGCTCAGAGAAAAGCTTTTTAATTTGGAGACACAACCGGTTGGCTAAAGAATCAGATTTGTGGATAGATTTTACCCAGTGTTCAGTACACACTCACAGAGTGCCTTTCATGATTTAACAACTCATTCTAGTGTAGATCTTAGTGGAGATTTTTTTTTTGTACATTTCTCCATCCTTCTGTTGTAGACAGTGTTTTGTTCATTTTGTTAAGTGACGATGCATGGGACACATAAAAAGGAAAGCATGGGCTTTGTATCCTAAAAGTAGAACAGTATGAAACAACCTCTACTGTATTACAAAATATATGTAATACACAATTTTGTGTGTGTATTCAAATCAGAGAATGACCAGTGGGTTTGCCCTCAGCTGCAGAAAAATGCGAAACAAGATCTCAGAGCTCTTTTCCGTCTTCATTGTGCCACCAAGAGCTGCTTGATCTTGAGCATCCTGGAGATCTTTATAAAGAGACTGACAAAAGAAAATGTTTTTTTAGCATTGAATTAAGCAAAACTGTCCGATATATGTGAATTAATACTAATCACAGAGTAAAAGTGCAGCCACCAATGTTGAAGGCTAAAAAAAATAAATAAAAAATGATGACACCTTTAGACTTTAATGCTAATAGTGTAATCTAAGCATGCAAGAATGAACAAATAAAATGAAGGGAATCGGATCTACCTCAACGTGCCGTACAGCTTCACACAAGCTCTGTGTTTTTAACTGCTTTGTATGGCAACATTTTACAGTTGAGTCTCTCAACAAGATCTGTTGGAAAAAGTCATGATCCCCAAATCAGATTCAATTGTAAGGAAAATTGAAATATTTTATTATAAATCTACCTGTAGGCGCCTCAGAATGGCATGATGCAGTCCACACACCGCTGCCACAGATGTACTCTCCACCCGAATCTCCAGGACTTCAAGAGGTCCATCAGAACATAAATCTCCCAGTGTCACCTTGAGGAAAGACGTGAGTAGCTCATTCTAAATGATAGACTTCATGTTCGTAAATGAGTAATGAGCAGTATAAAAGTCAGCACCTCTTTGGCCATAATCTTGACAGAGCATCCATCTGGGCTGTAGGCACAAACCAATGGGCTTTGTACAGACTTTGTCTGTCCCATCACCTCTGGTGATACCAACCAGTTTAGCACAGACACACATGTGTCTGAACTGCTGGTTACCGAGATGTGCAGTTTGGCCTTTAGAAGCTCGGATGATACTCTGATCAGCACTGCAACGGGTACTGACTTGGAAGTAGTATCAGAATCTTTGGTTAACGCTCCTCTGGCACGCAGAAAGGCTTGAATGCCATCCCTGACACTGTCGTGTCTGCTGTTACCATGAGAAAAGGATCCCTCTAGCCTTAAAGCATCAAGCCAATCCACTGTAAAAGAATTCAAAGGTGCACTGATGGAGCCCATCTCTGTTAGGAGCTGGGAAACACCAAGAGAAGTTGCTTCAGGGCTAAACAGATTGGAGAGGGAGAAGGTGAGAGAACAGTAGACCTTCACTGGCAGAGACAGCCCCTCAACTGTTTCAAGAGGAATGGTTACATCCAGTTTCTGATCAGAATCCAGTTTCTTCAGTGGAAATGAGTATGTCCTGGATGAGCTCTCAATATTTGAATATTGGGATAATGGGTGGACCTGAATGCATAGAGTCCAGCCATGTTCTAATGTACATCCACTTGAATTTTCAAGCACACATGCCAGAGTCAAAGAGTCTCTTTGGAGCAATGAGCTCCATCTAGCCACACCATGACAGCTGATTGGATGTTTGGTGCCCATATTAAAGTTTTTTTCATTCCCGTGGGCATCCAACAGTAGGCTGCAAACATTTATGACTTGATTCAGACGTTTGAGAGACTCATTTTTCTCCTGAAGCTTGTGTTTCAAGGATTCTGCCCTGCAGAAGACGGTAACAAAAGGATCAATGACGTGACACTCATTTTGGTCGCTCTATTAATTTATTTTTAAAATATTCGTACAAACAGGGACTTGTATTTTAAAAAAAAAGAAACCACCATGAATACAAAGGGTACAGAACTTTTAAATTAGGTTTAAAATAGATTTTTAAAAGATTCTTTATCACTGACACTCTTATAACACTGTTACATCTCCTTGACTCAAAATGTGACATTTAATTTTAGGTGTTGGAGAAACAGAAGTTTTCTTTTTTATGATGAGGCATGAAACAGACCTCTCCCAGATGTTTCCGATGGAAGCCAGGAGGTCCTTCACTCTCTGGCCTGCTAGAGATGGAGATAACCTGGGCACGTTTCCTTTTTCAGATGCTTGAGGAAGGTTCACTCGAAGCAGTCTTCCACTCAAAGATATGCCCATAAGCTGCACAGATCCTTATAATTCAAATACAAACAATTTGTGTTAGTGACTTAAGAATTAAAACACTTAAAAGCCTGGTAAACAGCATAGAGATGGATCAGAATGCAATGCATGTACAGTACCTGTAGGGTTAGTATATGGCTGAGCAAGTGCTATAACTCTGCATACACCAAGACTGTCTGAAGTCAGAGCTTGCAGCTGGGACTCAGTCCCTGTGGCTTCTGATGAAGATATCGCGGTGAACTGAAGTGTGTGTAGGTCATTGAGAGAGCTGTAGTACAGCCGTTTATCATCAACACAGACACACAGCACTGGCCCTCTTACACTATGCTCATTGAAGCCTGTAAAATGTGAATTTAACAGATTATCAAAACTGATCTATAATTAAATAAATAAAGCATTGCTACACCTGTCCTGATATCAAAATGAAGAAAAATAATAATAATTCTTGAATACAAAACCAAAATGCTTTTTGGCATTATCTATTATTATTTATTAAATATTTTAACAAAACTGCATATTGATTTTTTGTCTGGTTGTTAAATGTCATGTGGTGCAACTCCCCAAAATTTTAATTATATTTATGAAGTCAAGATATCAATATAAAAGCCTTGAAAAATATATGTTGTACTTCTTTGAGTATAATAATGTGTAAACCATATTCAAGATGTAAGGAAATATTTTATTACTTTTTTTATATTTAATGGTCACACCACATTACACTTTCAGACATTAAACTAAAACATTTTAAAAATTTCAAACATTTCAAAAACAATATGAAACCAGTACAAAAAGAAAATGATTTTCTTTTTAATAAAACATAAATTTAACTTTTTAAATAAAAGATATTTCCTTTTCTTTATTGTCAACAATCTTATTGACTATAAAATTAAAATCAAACATTTTTGGAAAAGCAAAAAAATCATTCTTACTATAATCTGCCTCTTTTCTTTCCGAACTTGCTTGTTTGCTTCTAACCATTAGTAGTTTTCCTCTTTGACCAACTGCGATGAGACACTGAGGTCCGTGTTCTCCAGAGACGCAGGTTCCGACAAATACGATTGGCTGCTCTAAGCTCTGAAGGACTCTGATTGGAGAGCTCGGCTCTCCTCTTGGACCAGCCAGGGTGGGGACGAGCAAAGGAAAGCAGCAAATACGTCCATCAGGTAAACCACATAGTATGACTGGAGAATTAACTAAAGAGGAATCCACGCCAAATAAGAGCCTAAAAAGACGGGGCTCAAGATAAGGATGGAGGTCAGAATGTTGAGAGTTGACTGACGTGGAGCCTTTAGGATAGATGCAAGTCAACACTGGAGGACAGTTCACACTTTTTTCTTTGTCTGTTATGTTTAATCGGCATGAGTTTACAGTTGCAACCTGGAAACAAGCAAGTTTCCGAAGGGGTCTGGATCCAAGCTCTTCATAGAGATCAAAACTCCAGATGGACTTGTGAAAACTAAGAGTCACAAGGATCTTCTCAACTATGGTAAATGCTTGCAGATTGAAATTTTTCAGGACAACGGACTCTTCCGATACTATATTTAGCACACGGTCAGGACTTTTGCTCGCCAGGACAGAGGAAGAACTAGGAAAAAAGAAGCATGGAAAAAAATTATAAAAATAAAAATTCCACATTATAATGACTAAAGAAAATCTGAAGATCTATTGAAAATACTTGACAACTGCAGTTTTCCTTCCTGTGGAGAATTCACATAAAATGACTGGAAGACTGCATTTTATCTATGTCGTAGAAAAAAAAAGTGAATTCTAAATGTGAATTTATCCAGTTTGCTAAACCCCACCCCCCTTTATTATTGTTTCTGACCAGTTCTGAATTGACTGGACAAAAAAATCTGTTGCAATATTAAGGTTAAGTACTTTATTTACTACAAGTGAGCTATAGCATAGAATTGGAATAGAATTATATATTTCTGTCCAACCTTAGACAGTTACACAACTACCACTTTGATGCTTCAAAAAGTTCATAAAGAGATTGTAAAACTAATCTATATGAATTGAACGGTTTAATCCCCACAATGTCTGAAGAGACATGATTGCTTTTAAATGATGAACAGATTTAATTTAAGCTTTTATACACATATTCTTCAACTCACACATTTGAACAGTTATCGGTTTAACAGATGCTCAAGCATAAACCGCTCAATTCATATGGATTCAATTGAAGATCTCTCTTTATTAACTTTTTTGAAGCGTCAAAATGGTAGTTGCGTAGCTGTCAATGGAGAGACAGAAATCTCTCGGATTTCATCAAAAAATATCTTCTTTTGTGTTCTGAAGGAAGAAAGTCGGGTTTGGGGTTTGGAACGACATGAAGGTTAGTATTTAGAGACAGAATCAACATTTTGGGATGATATAACACTTTAAGTGATCTAAAAAATATGTTATGGCAGATATTACTAACGTTACCTGAGCTGTAGTAGAGGGGTGCAGTAAAGCCCACCGTTCGCGCAAAGTGCATAAAGCCGATATTTATCGTCGCTTAATCCCAAATTGGTCACTGAATCTTCAAACTGCATCACGGTCTGAAAACAACAACAACTTGTATTGAGTGAGCTTGCACAAAAGTAGTCTGGTATAGTATAACCATAGAGTATCACAGAAAAGTTAAAAACAAAAAAAACAAAACAAACAAAAAAAAAAAAAAAAACATGCACTTGCCGTGACTCTCCTCTCCTCGACATTGAATACGAGCACATCTTTGTGTCCGCAGGCCAAGAAAAGATTCGTGTCGTCCTGTATGATGCGCACTGAGTGTGATTGACAGTCACTGAACTCAGACAGATACTCCACACTGCACCGCTCCATTATATGATGTCACACAGGTCTGTTTTACATTCTCCACAGAGTTTACTCCAACTTAAAAGACACTTTTGTTTCGGATAATAAAACTTCTCAGATTTAACCACATAACAGAAATGCTCGCGACTGTTCCGTTTCTTACAACCGCCGACTCAACAGTGACCAATGAGGAGGATCGATGTTCTCCCTCTTCTGTTTTTTAAACAGTCAGATTTAATACACTGCCATCTACCGGAGATTCCGGTGTTCCGATTATAAAAAATAAAAATAAAAAAAAACATTAAAAAAAACAACAGGCCAGGCATCAACAATATGCAGATTGACAATGAAAAAATAAATAAATAAATAAAATGAATCAAAAATAATACATAAAACAAGGCATAGTTTTCAAATAAATAAACTTTTCAGCAGCATAACATACATCTTCTACAGTTTGTTTAGATTTTTTTACAAGGTTCAAGGAGGATAAAAACATAGAAAATTCATTTTTAAAACAGTGTTCCGGAAAATTCGGTTCCCCTGTTTCCCCTGTTTCGTAACTCCGCCCCTTACTTCCGGTTCTGGCGCTGGGGCGAAAACTGTGATGCTTTTTTGGTAACAGCCATTAGATGGCGCTTCGGTAGCGCGGCCGCCATATCGGGGTGAAAATTCCAACTGGAGTTACTGGACAACAGCACAGATAACAGTTGTGAGGTAGTTTTTTTCTTGCATTAGTGAGTATTTCCATTGTATGCAACTTTACACTTTTACAACTATTATTAGTTACCAACTCCACTAGGCCTGAAATATATTTTGGACGTTTTAATCCCCATCATGCTACAAACATGATGATCATTGATGCGCTGCCGCTGTGTCCGTTATCCTATAACTAATTGCCACTTTGGACATTGGCTGTGTTTTTTTGTTTGTTTACATGGTCTTGCTTTAACGGTCATTAATATAAGATATGCTAATATAAGATACTTACAAAAATAAGTTATCAATTAAATAAATTAATTCAGCAAATAAATGTTGTACTAAAATGTAAATGTTTGACAATAACAGTGTTGTTTGTTTACATGGTCTTGCTTTAACGGTCATTAATATAAGATAGGCTAGTACTGCAAAAAAAACAACTGTTTACTGTAAAACTATTCTATTGCTGTTATACATTTATTGTCAAACATTTAAATTTAGTACAACATTTATTTGCTGAATTAATTTATTTCATTGATAACTTATTTTTGTAAGTAATGTTATGTGTACCTCCCGGGAAACGGTCTAATGTTATTATAACTTTATGAACTGATATCACTTTATTCTTAATGTGGAGAGTAATGTGATCTCTGCACTGGATTAAATATATTATATGATTGCCGAGTCGCTTTCACCCCGTAATGGCGGAAACGTAGGGCTGCTGCTGGGTGCTGGTGTTGCAATGGAATGTTCTTTCACTTCTTGTCAATATACGTTCTTTGTGTGCTGCGGGTCTGCAGCTGAATACTATTGGTCCTAACTGTACATGTGCATCAGATACCTGTGTGTGTGTGTTTACAGGGGTTTCACGTCAGATACCTGTCCTAACTGTACATCTGCATCAGATACCTGTTTGTGTGTGTTTACAGGGGTTTCACGTCAGATACCTGTCCTAACTGTACATCTGCATCAGATACCTGTGTATGTGTTTACAGGACTTTCACACCAGATACCTGTCCTAACTGTACATCTGCATCAGATACCTGTGTGTGTGTTTACAGGAGTTTCATGTCAGATACCTGTCCTAACTGTACATCTGCATCAGATATCTCTGTGTGTGTGTGTGTTTACAGGAGTTTCACATCAGATACCTGTCCTAACTGTACATCTACATCAGATACCTGTGTGTGTGTTTACCAGGCATGTGATTGGCTTTAAAGCACACATGCAAATTAATTTTGTGAACTCGCTGAACTGATGTAGCCGTTCTTCTGCGTTAATATTGCGAGTATTTGTCGCGTTGTACACTAATGCTGTTGAGACGGAGGTGTCAGGACTGCAACTGACCGAATGCACGATAGGCTATAGCTAACAGTTACATATTTCTACAAAAGCAGTCAGCAGCTTGCTTGGAGCAAGGATCATAGCGCACATTTGAAATATATCGATATATCGCCCAGCCCTGATGACCTAACGGTGATGTTCTTGTCAACTGACAACGATACCAGCGTGAGAGCGACTGAGATAAGCTGAACCAATTAGACATTCTCTGGCTGAACGCAACGTCCTTGTTGATACTTTGAAAGGAACATTCTGTACGCACGTCAGCCAGTTATGGGCTACTCATTCTCTCCTTTTAACTCCGGCTGCGACACCCGTCCCTAGTGTTGCCAACTATTTTCAAACGAAAGTGGCTAACGCCTTCCCTAAAAGTCGCTAGATGACGCCATACGTTAATTAGCATATTCGTGACGTCATTGCGTCGTACTTGCGTTCCGCTTGCCTAATGTGTTTTCTCTATAAATTAATGCTCAGCTCACATATTGTATTTAATATATTATAATATAATATAGACGAATGTAAAATAAAGCTGTTCTCAATATATTTTTGTCACACAAAACGAGTGATAGGCTATATAGTGAATGACAAAAAAGTAATACAGCAAGCAGAAGAAAAGAAAGGAAACTAAATTGTTTAAATAAAAAACATTATTATTTAAAGAAAGCAGATAAGTGATAGGTCCGTGGAAAAACACTGCTCATTCACGTCTGTCAGTGGCGTTCAACAGATGATCTGCTCCTCTCAGCCATTCACTAAACAGGGTAGACGTAGAGTGAATGAAAGCAAAGGGAGAAAAGCAAAAAGTCTGGGTCTGAAAAGTCGCTAAAAATAGCGACTCATTTGCGCGATTGTTTTGCAGTTTGTACGTGGATGAGAACATCTCCTGCTCTGTCTGTCTACAGCTGGGAGGGGCTGCTGCGCGAGGACTCAACTACCTGTGAGTGATTTGGGACGGGGTGGGACCCACGGCAGCACTCGCTGCTCGTTGAGATGAGGAAAAACGATATGTGATTTCACATCAGAGAGTCTTCAAAAGTCTCTAATAACACCAGAAAAAGTCACTAGATTTGTCGCTAGTCGCTTTTTTGAAAATGTGTCGCTAGGGGGGTCTGAATACTCGCTAAATATAGCGACAAAGTCGCTAGTTGCCCGTCCCCCTCTTTTTTTTTTTTTTTTTTTTTTTTTTTTACACAGATCTGCATGATTCACGCAGGTCACATTTTCAGGTCGGAAAATCCGGAATTCCGGATTAATCCGGAAAAATCACATCCCTGACTTTACAGTAGTTGAGTTACAATGTTTTTATGCAAAATGTATCAATTTAATTAGCTCACAGACGTTTACAAGTTTTAAGATAATTTTAAATAAACTATATTTATAATCTAATACACATAGAAAGTGTATCTGTATGTCTATTAGTAGAATATACATTTTATGTGAAATTATCTTAGAACTTGTGTAAAGTCTGAGTTAAACCTTAGAACCTAGGTTTACTAACTTACTGTACTTTTTCCACTGCCATCTTAAAACAACACATAAACAACTAGTTGTTCATATGCAACTTTATTAAAAAAAGAGAGAGAATATCAAATTGACAGCAAGCATAACAAGGCAGGACTTCAGCATTTGGATGTCTCAGGACACAATCTCCCACACCATCACCTTTCGTATGACTGGAATTGACAAAAAAATATATAATAAATAAAAGCTAAATAAAAGTTTAGAGTGAGGTAGGTACTAGTGTGTCTTAGTGGATAGATATGGTTATTGATAAAGTCAAACAAGTGTTAAGAATCTGGTTTGAGAGAAATATAAATATAGTAGCTTGGTCATGTACCTGTCTGAAGGTAGGTGGCTTTCCTTGAGAAAGGAAGTCTGCATATTTGCACAGATGTACAGATGCAGATGTACAGTTAGGACAGGTATCTCACGTGAAACCCCTGTAAACACACACACACATACACACACACAGGTATCTGCTGCACATGTACAGTTAGGACAGGTATCTCACGTGAAACCCCTGTAAACACACACACAGGCATCTGATCCACATGTACAGTTAGGACAGGTATCTGACGTGAAACCCCTGTAAACACACACACACACACACACACACACAGGTATCTGATGCAGATGTACAGTTAGGACAGGTATCTCGCGTGAAACCCCTGTAAACACACACACACACACACACACACACACACACACACACAGGTATCTGATGCACATGTACAGTTAGGACAGGTATCTCGCGTGAAAACCCTGTAAACACACACACACACACACACACACACAGGTATCTGATGCAGATGTACAGTTAGGACAGGTATCTGACGTGAAACCCCTGTAAACACACACACACACACAGGTATCTGATGCAGATGTACAGTTAGGCAGGTATCTGATGTGAAACCCCTGTAAACACACACACAGGTATCTGATGCACATGTACAGTTAGGACAGGTATCTCGCGTGAAACCCCTGTATAAACACACACACACACACACACACACACACACAGGTATCTGATGCAGATGTACAGTTAGGACAGGTATCTGACGTGAAACTCATGTAAACACACACACAGGCATCTGATCCACATGTACAGTTAGGACAGGTATCTGACGTGAAACCCCTGTAAACACACACACACACACACACAGGTATCTGATGCAGATGTACAGTTAGGACAGGTATCTCGCGTGAAACCCCTGTAAACACACACACACACACACACACAGGTATCTGATGCACATGTACAGTTGGGACAGGTATCTGACGTGAAACCCCTGTAAACACACACACAGGTATCTGATGCACATGTACAGTTAGGACAAGTAACGTTATCTCACGTGAAACCACTCCTTACATTAGAATCCTTCCGCATCTTTTACAAAAACTTTTTACAAAAACAAAATCTTTTACAAAACGTTTGCCTCTTGATCATAATAAACCCTCAAAAAAATTACTGAATCCGCTTTTTTGTCTTTTGTCCATGGCTGTTTAACCAGTCTGCTCTTCATCATTAATCAGTTCAGTAATTTGAAAAGCGCGCGGGAAGAAGGCACTATACTCTGCGCATGTGCGGTGACCTGCAAATTATTTTTTTTTGGAAAGGGGTGTGATGGCCACACCCTCGGAAACGCCCCGTGTGCGTCGCGGG